TTTTATAGGTACATGGAATGTCCGGACAATGTGGGAGACCGGAAAAGTCTTCCAAATTTCTGCGGAAATGAGGAAATACAACCTGGAGGTGCTTGGAATCAGTGAAACACATTGGACGCAGGTTGGACAACAACGACTGTCTTCAGGGGAACTTCTGTTATACTCCGGTCATGAAGAAGAAAATGCCCCACATACACAAGGAGTGGCACTGATGCTGTCTAGAAAAGCACAAAATGCACTTATAGGATGGGAATCTCATGGACCAAGGATCATCAAAGCCTCCTTCAGAACAAAGAGAGAGGGCATTACAATGAACATCATCCAATGCTATGCGCCGACCAACTACTACGATGAAGACGCTAAAAACCAATTCTACGATAGGCTGCAGTCAATCTTCGAGAAGTGCCCAACCAAGGACCTGACCATTCTAATGGGAGATTTCAATGCCAAGGTTGGAAAGGACAACACTGGATACGAAGACGTCATGGGACAACATGGACTGGGAGGAAGGAACGAAAATGGTGAGAGATTTGCAAACCTATGTGCCTTCAATAAACTGGTCATAGGTGGCACCATATTCCCACACAAAAACATACACAAAGCCACTTGGATTTCACCGGATCACACTACACAGAATCAAATCGACCATGTCTGCATCAACAAAAAGTTCAGGAGGACGATGGAGGATGTGAGAACCAGGAGAGGAGCTGATATAGCATCCGATCACCATTTGCTGGTCGCCAAGATGAAACTAAAACTCAAGAAGCACTGGACAATGGCACGGACAACATCACAAAAGTTTAATACTACCTTTCTTCGAAATGCTGACAAACTTAACGAATTTAACATAGCCCTCAGCAACAGGTTCCAGGCATTTCATAACCTACTCAATGAAGAGGGAACGACCATAGAGAGCAGCTGGAAAGGTATCAAGGAGGCAATCGTTTCAACATGTCAGGAGGTTCTGGGCCAAAAGAAGCACCATCACAAGGAATGGATCACTGTTGGTACACTGGATAAAATTGAAGCAAGGAGGAACAAGAAGGTAGCAATCAATATCAGCCGAACAAGAGCAGAAAAAGCCAAGGCACAAGCCGAATACACAGAGGCAAACAAGCAAGTGAAGAGGAGCATCAGGACTGACCGACGTAAATATGTGGAAGATTTAGCGATGACAGCGGAAAAGGCTGCAAGAGAGGGAAACATGAGACAACTGTATGATACAACAAAGAAACTTGCTGGAAATTACCGTCAACCAGAAAGACCAGTGAAAAACAAGGAAGGCAAAGTAATCAACGATATTGAAGAACAACGAAACAGGTGGGTAGAACACTTCAAAGAACTCTTGAATCGACCAGCTCCACTGTACCCACCCAACATCGAAGCAGCACCCACAGACCTCCCAATCGATGTTGGCCCACCAACAATTGAAGAGATCAGCATGGCCATTAGACAAATGAAGAGTGGCAAAGCAGCGGGACCAGACAACATCCCGGCAGAGGCACTGAAAGCAAAAGTAACAGCAACTGCCAAGATACTCCACATCCTCTTCGGTAAGATTTGGGACGAAGAACAAGTACCAACAGACTGGAAAAAAGGACTTCTGATCAAGATACCAAAGAAAGGCGATCTGAGCAAGTGCGACAACCACAGAGGCATCACTCTCCTCTCAATACCAGGAAAAGTCTTCAACAGAGTATTGTTAAACAGGATGAAGGATTCCGTGGACGCTCAACTTCGAGATCAACAAGCTGGATTTCGTAAGGATAGATCGTGCACAGATCAAATCGCAACTCTACGTATCATTGTGGAACAATCAATCGAATGGAATTCATCGCTCTACATCAACTTCATCGACTACGAGAAGGCATTTGATAGCGTGGACAGGACGACACTGTGGAAGCTTCTTCGACACTACGGTGTGCCTGAGAAGATAGTAAATATCATACGGAACTCCTATGATGGACTAAACTGCCAAATCGTCCACGGAGGACAACTCACCGACTCGTTCGAGGTAAAGACCGGTGTTAGGCAAGGTTGCCTACTCTCACCCTTTCTCTTTCTCCTGGTGATCGACTGGATTATGAAGACGTCAACATCTGGAGGAATGCACGGGATACAGTGGACAGGCAGGATGCAGCTTGACGATTTAGACTTCGCGGATGATCTGGCTCTTCTATCACAAACGCAACAACAAATGCAGGAGAAAACGACCAGTGTAGCAGCAGCCTCAGCAACAGTAGGTCTCAATATAAACAAAGGGAAAAGCAAGACTCTCCGATACAATACAATATGCACCAATCCAATCACACTTGACGGAGAAGCTTTGGAGGATGTGGAAATCTTTACATATCTGGGCAGCATCATTGATGAACACGGTGGATCAGATGCAGATGTGAGGGCGCGGATCGGCAAAGCAAGAGCAGCATACCTACAGCTGAAAAACATCTGGAGCTCAAAACAATTGTCAACCAACACCAAGGTTAGAATTTTCAATACAAATGTCAAGACAGTTCTTCTGTATGGGGCGGAGACGTGGAGAACTACGAAAGCCATTATCCAGAAGATACAAGTGTTTATTAACAGCTGTCTACGCAAGATACTTCGGATCCGATGGCCAGACACTATCAGCAACAAGTTACTGTGGGAGAGAACAAACCAGATTCCAGCGGAGGAAGAAATCAGGAAGAAGCGCTGGAAGTTGATTGGTCACACCTTGAGGAAATCAGCTGATTGCGTCACAAGTCAAGCCCTCACATGGAATGCTGAAGGTCGAAGGAGAAGAGGAAGACCAAAGAACACATTACGCCGAGAAATAGAGACAGACATGAGAAGAATGAACAAGAACTGGAAAGAACTAGAAAAGAAGGCCCAGGACAGAGTGGGTTGGAGAAAGCTGGTCGGCGGCCTATGCTCCATTGGGAGTAACAGGCGAAAGTAAGTAAGTAAGTTGCGACGATATGCTAGATTTTCAACGATAAACATCCTTATTAACTGAACACAGGGTAAGATAATAAAAGGTCTAGTTGTAGAGCATAATGAGATAATTTATCTATTGTTCCGTAATAGGGCTGTTTAACAAAACATGATTATACTACTTAATGGTTTCTGGTATTAAACCATTCATTATAAATTATGTTCTATTAAAACTGTAAAAACATAAAATAAAGTCTCTATTGTAATGTTCATATCATTATACATTATTATTTTGTTGGTATTATTAATCTGGATAAATTACTACAAAACTTGAATGGGTAATAACACACACTGAGTAGAATTTTATTTTGAAGAGATCAATTCCTAAAGCACATGACTCCTCTATCATAGTTAGACACAGAGAAAAAAAGTTGGATAAGTAATCAATTCCGTGTTCAAGTGTGACAGAATTCGTTTGACCTCTGATAATATACAAAATTAATTTGTTCTAGAAGTTCCATTTTGATGAAGTTTATACATTATACATCAGAGAGATAGTGGTAACGATTTACACGTTGATTAAGGTAAGACATTTTGAGATCTTCCAATGTATCAGTCAACGTATTTTCACTTGTATTCTTGTTTATAAGGATTCAATGTTGGACTTCTGAAGTTTGTTTCTAAGGATTCAAATTTCAGTATATACAGTATTCTATTGTCCTCTCGTCCACAGATAATGAGGAGTCATTGCTACCTAACCTTACTAAAACATGTATATCGTGGCTAAAGTTCAGTCTATAATGTAACTACTGAATCAGACATTTTTTAAGACGATGAAAATGATCTGAATAAGGTAAGGTGAACTAGTGAAAACTAACAGTTACATATCTGGATAAACAAGGGTTTAAAAACTCTTGGATCGAAGCCAAGAAATTTGAATTCATGTTTCTAGCTTGATGGTTTCTGACTTGAAGATATGAAAGAATAACTGTAATTTCAAGATTATTTTATGTATTCGATTGAAAAATTATAATCCCAATTATTCTTTATAGTGTGTTACCTTTCAGAAGAGTGGTTCTTAATTATACCCAAGTGCTTTATCTAATTAATATTGTTTGTTGCAATTATTTACACAAATGTCCGAACTGAGAATATTCATATTGCAAAAAATATTCATGGAGAATTATACCTGAGCAGATACATCTAGGTATATTTTCTTGTTCTTTATATTTAGCCAGATTTCATAAGTAAGTCTTCAGGCATCTCTGTTAGTGTTAATATGAAACACAGGAAACTCGTTTTTCATCATGGGCCTCAAAGAAATTTAAGCTTCTTTGAATTAATCATCGATAAGTAGGATAAGGAACAGCTTTAGTCAATAAGAGCTTTCAAATTCGTGTGAATACTAAATCTGTTAATAAAATGGTAGGTAAAGATTTCAAGCTTAGTTCTATTAGTATATAAGAACTTTTGCCTAAATTTGAACGGATAGTTTCACAGTATTTGGGCGCTCAATTAATACACCTTCTTCCTTCTACCAGGTATTTCTATGAAATTCGTCAATAAAGTGATAACAAATTATTAATAACTGAACTGTATTTATATTAATTTATTCTAAGACGACAATCCTTTTGCACTGGCATTTTGACAACACCCTAACTTAAATGTAAAAGTGTTATATGGTATATAGGTAGTAGGTAATTTATTTTATATAAAAGTATTCTTGACATTGGAAGACAGGCAAGTTCCTTACAATGATCAGTGAATAAATTAATTTCATTGATAAATTTCTCCTGAACATAACAACATATAGTTAATTGTTTAGATTAGCCTCCTTGAAATTGTTGATTCTGTACAGCGGATAATATTGGACCAGCAACACATAGTCGAAATTAAGTAACCTTTTTTTTCTATTTTCAAACTGATGCTCATAAGAAAAACAAATTTGTCCACCTGAATAACGTAGCAAGTTTCTATTCTTCATGTTACCAACATGAAATGGTAACGTGGATGTAACGTTATTTACACAAATAAATTAATAGACAATAACAAATAAAGCGTGACTATTGTGTTTTTAGTTTTCCTTTTAATCGTGGGTAATTAACTAAAACAACTTTTAAGCAGGAAACATTTTTTCTGTCTATCCTTTTTAAGAATTTCACTAAATTCATTTGAATGAGTCAGCTTTCTCAAGTAAAGAAGCAGAGAGTTCAGCCTAAATATATTTGTGTATTTGTATATTCACAATATTGTTTGAGCATATAGTCATGAAACATTTCCCTTAAATGGATCCATGACTAATCATCAAATTCTTACCTTTAGCTATAGATTGCAAATTTCTTTAGTTTACTTGAACATTTTTATGAAATTTAGCTTTGTTTTTGAGAGTGAACAGATCTTTGTAAAGAATCATAAGAAATTTTCAGTAGTCACAGGACTACTTGTGTAGATGGTCATGGTGGTAATCTCTTCATCATAAAATGCTTTTTAAATCCGACTAATTGTATCGTATTAAAAAACAAATCATGTAGCTATACTAAAACTCAGAGATAAATCAGTATGACATTTGAAAAGGAATGCAAGTGAAATCTAATTCACTTCTTCTTAATCAAATGCTATTACCCGTTTACCAGGTTAAAGTAAAGCATTTAGCTCTCGTGGGATAATCTCAGTGAAACTGTTAATAACCTGGGATCTGAAAAATTATTTTCCTTACATATATGACAGAAGCTCAGTTATATCTATGGTTTTCATCTTTGTGGGTGCTAAACCTACTTATTGAGAAAAAAAACAATTAACTAATAAATCTCATTGGCTCATATTTAGAAGACTGACGTAACATAGATAAATAGCAAATGCAATGTACTGCAGTACCACCAAAACTTACTGTTTACTGAAATACTACAAGTCCACAGCATATATATATATAGTTTCAAAATATCTTAAATTCAGATTACTAACTAAATTTTGTTACTATAACTGTGTAGCTGGAAAAGATTGTCTAAAAGTATTGTATAAACAGTCCCTATCATTATTTTCATTAAGTATAAGGATAGTTAAAAAAATCATTATCCATTACATTTTTGAATCCTAGGATCTAACTGGAACTCCGCTGAAACCAGATCATCCAAAATTTTTGATTTACATTAAAAATAGTATTTATGGATATCAAACTAATGAAAGGACATCACATTAGCATCAAACTACTTGAAATTCGATACCGAGAAATTGTATGATATACATTTTAGAATCAAATAGACGGCATATTATTCAGTTTCAAAAATGTGAGGTATTTCTCCAACGAAAAAACCATGACATGCTTGTTTATTATTTAATTCAAGGCAGTAACAGTATGTCCCTCCTACACCCTTTATCTACAACAAGTCATAATTGAGGTCACTCTTCACTCCTATCTTTTACTATACCACTTACAATTAGAGTAGTGCACAAAAGAAACTAGAATCTGTAACGCATTTTAAAATTCAACCTAAGAAATATAAAGGAAAACCATCTAATAAAAAAATGGAACTTTATAAATTCTCATATATTCACAATTGATGTATTCATGATGATTTCTTTACTTCGAAACTGATTTATGTACAAATCATGAGTATTATATTAGCGACCACTTACAAGCGGTCAATTAACAGGCCGTACATGGAGAAATGTAACTCGGTGCTTAAGCGAATTAAAAAAATGTTTCGTGTATTAATACAAGGACATTGCTGAATTTTTTCCAATCCGAATACTTGTATAATTATTTATGTTTTTATTCAACGTTTATAGGGTACAGACTCTAATCAACATCACAAGTTGTTGTGAAAATTAAATGCAATTTCTTTGATTTGTCCGTAATATAACGCTGAGTTTCCATGTTATGGTACGGTATGTCTGAACGTTAATTTATTTGATTGAATTACTTTTGATGTGTATTTTGGTATTTCCAATTTATTACCAGTTATAAACAACCCATGGGCAGTACAAATCAGTGTAGAAATTAATCATTTACAGTGAACATTGGATATAAGGAAAGACTTGTCAACAGCTTGCTGAATTTTAGTAACCGTTACTCATATTATTTGCATTATCATAATGATATATATTTGTTTGATGCAGAAAGTATTGTTAACTGTGTACCAGGTAAAACCTTAGAATGCAGCGCATTACTATTTCTAAATGCACTAGAACTCCGAAGTTAATAAAATCATAATTAAAGATATGTATTTTGGAAATGTATCATCTCTTCAAGGTAATGTATCTGTTTGTCGTATGTATTTGTAATTATATATATTTCTATTTCAATTATTATTGTTTTTGCAATTAAGGATGACAGTTTTCTTTATTTATTAATCATTCTAATAGGTTTACGCAGTCTGCTCGATCCATGGCGGAGAATATAGCTTTTAATTCATTCACACATGGTTCATCACGATTACAAGCCTCCCACATATTTAAAAGAACTGTTGTTGGACTTGGTTGTGATTTCAGATAAAAAATATACCTGAAAAACATTTTGAAACAACAATCTGTAGTAAATTTTGAAGTTTAATAATTAAAAATATCTACTGATCAAGAAATTTCACATGAATGTTGCATTGTTGAGAAGTACATATAGAATTCCACTTCAACTATTCATTCACTACGTCTTGGGTTTTAATCATTATTTAAAGATTCTGAAATTAATTCCCAGTGAGAAGTTTCGTACTTTGCTGGAAAGAGTAGGGGCATATTCTGTAGAACTCAGTGTACCTAATTATTTAGATTCTGTCCTTTAATAAGGACGGTATACAATTTATATCAATGAAAAATGTTTATAAAACATTTTCTTACTCCTGATTTCTAAACACGTCTTAAAGACAAAAATTCACTGAATTTTCGAATTATGCCTCATAACCTAAGTCCATATATACTGGATATTTTATGCTACAGTTAAAATGAAGAATAACTATCTAAATGAGTTAATTATAGATTTTTACAGTGTTTCAGAAATAGCACTCCTTAGATGCTTAGATCAGTGAGCGTAAGCTTATCCTATAGCTATACGGCGACCATCAGAATTCTTGATGTTAAACGCACCGGTCATTATCGAGCATAGAAAGAACCAGGATTCATAAGAATATAGGCATGCAAGTAATTTAGGTCATTCAGGTTCATATCAACAACTTTGAGGCACTCTGGTTGCATCATGATTATCCATACTATCAGCTTGTTACAACCACTAAAGCGTTTGGAGCAGAGTTCGAACCTTTGATCTACTGATTGGAAGCTGACTACCTTAACCGCTAAGTCGACATTTAGTCTCACGACTGATTATTTGTTAGTCATTTACTGCTATCTTGTTTTATTCGACTATCATGCTTTATGAGTTCACCTAGTTTATCAGTGCCCGTTTATGAAATTAAATTCCCGTCTCAATACGTTACAAGGATAATCTGAACTTCATTTTGATAAGCAGAATCAGATGTTATCGTATTAGAACAAAATCATAATGACATCGTTGAAGTGTACTTTTTAGGGATGTTGGAAGACCAAATTATAAACTAACCTCTCCATTCCCATATGTTTTGCTAGTTTTTGCCATTCACCCTCTTTCGTGTCCAACAGTTTACACAGTCTTTGAGTAGTCACTACAGGAAGTCTAATTTCAGGAAAAAGGCAAGATAAAAAAGAAATATATCGAAATACAATAATAATTCGGATGTTTTCAGAAAAATCAACAGTTATACATATGCCTAAACATGTATTTGATCATAAACACTTATGAATGTGTTTATTGTTCAGAGAATATTCGATTTACAGTGGTCATGCAAATATCTATTGGTGAATACATAAAAAATAATTTCTGTACACATACTAAAATGTGTAGATACACTAAGAATAAATCATATGGTTACCTATTACCCACAAATATAGGAAATAGAAATTGGTACTACTTAAAATACATTAAATATGTACTTCTTCCATCTCTCCTTCTCTTCTTTGCTTTTATCCTATCAAACTGTGTGTCATTTGACTCCACATGATGTAATATAATATATTGATGGAACGGTGCGTATGTGGTTTCTATTTTTTAGTTTATTTTATTTATCAAATATTATCATCAGAAATACTGGAAAATATATATACATATATATATAACCTCCTGCTGAGCAGACAAAACAAGTAATCCAAATGTCCATACTTTTGCAGTTATGTTCATGCTTTCATATTTTGGTGTAAACGTTGCTCTTTATAACTGTATGTATAAATGTCTCAGACAATGAATCTTGGTGGAACATAGTTTAAAAATGTTTTTATTGATTTTAACTAACTTAAATTACTGTATAATCAGTTCATAAGAGCTCACAACTCTTTTGTGCTCGTGAGCCAAATTAGATTAACGGTAAACGGTTCGCCATTTAAATACTCCATTTACCAAGTGGTTTACTTTGAGAAAAATATAAAGTGGTCTGATGGCATATACATATTATATGATATATCGAAAGCTTTGTAAAGTTCCATCAAAAGTTATCTAATAGTAAATAAACAAAAGTAAAATAGACGTTACCGATTATGATTGGTTGCTCGTAATTTGAATATAACATCACTTTGAAAAAATCCCTCAGTGTCATTTAAAAGCACAGTAAGGAATGCCCAGTAAATAATAAAAAAATTGATTCATGACTTTATGCAACAAACTGAGACCTCTTATTTGTGCAGCTTTTCAAAATATGATAAACTGAATCTTTCTGTCCAAGACCCATATTATCGATAGATTAGTTACTCCTTCATATAGTGATTCGTCAATTGGCATGCCAATTAGAAAGTATTAGAAGAATATTAAGAGATAAATTTTAGTATATTTGAAAGCTGGATTACTTTTATAGCCCATTAGCATTTACGATAATATGACTAAAGATGCGATTTTCAGCGTTCCACCCTATGTTCCACTGAATGCTTAAGTATAAGTTAACTACCAAATGTACTGGTAGACTTACAGTATATATATATATATATATATATATATATATGACTGACATTATAGTAAACATTTCCGTGGTAGTTTCATTATTTATGATTACTGGTTTCAGCTATATCCTCTATGTACATCCACGTTTACATTGGAGTATGTCAACTATTTTAAACTGATAGATGTAAATACGAGGCACGTAGGGGATAAGCTAATCGAAAATGTTATCTACTGAAAAAAATTTGTGTGGATGTTTAACTAAGTTACAAGCACAGTTATATCACAGTACTACTCAACATAGTAAAGAAGTCATATTTATACTGAAAGATGAACACAATGTACTTGATGAAGATTAAGCTTCGTCAGTAATTGTGAAACTCATTGTAATGTTTTATTTCAATATTTTTAAGAAAATAGATAACATGATGTTGAGGTCTAGTCGGTTTCTTAACATGAATTATCTGCCAAAAAACAATAGACAGAAGAATAAAAACTATAATGAAACAAAACTTACACACAGTTAGATATGTCTCAATTTACAATGCTATATGCTCACTAATCCGACGAATTTTAGATATGTTCTCTGCTTATGTCCACTGCAACCATATTTACCAATTCTCATGAACTTGTGCAAGCAAGTATTTAGGAAAGATTGGTGGAATGGCATTTATTTGGTTTTAGGAGCAAGTTACATGAAACCAAGAGTCTAATGGAGACTGGATATCATTAAGGTAAAGTTCAGTGTTTCATAATGATAAACGAATAAAGATCATTGATCTTACACCCCTTTATAGTGGCTCACATACTCAAACGCTTTATACCTGATATTTGCAAGCGGAAAGATAGCATGGTTAGCATTTCACTACTCTGTTGGTCTAACATGTTTATATTCTTAATTACCAAATTTTATCATTAAGTTATTTCTTTCACATGTCTACACAGTTCATTAGATCAGATAATGAAATAACATGAACACATTCATGAGATAGTAACCTAATAACCACTGGTCGTAAAAGGTTGTTATTTAGACATATTGTAGTCGGAGACAGTGTTGTACATCGACTTTTTTCTTCATTGTTCGACTTTGTTAACGAGTGAAAAGTTATATTTTTAATGATTTCATGGTAAGTTTTGAGCAGGTTTAAAATTTTCACGGTTACGGAATTTTCGTTTGTTTGCTTTTATTATCGTAATACGTAACGAATAAGACAATAAATAGACCCGAGGTTTAAAATAATTATAATATTGTTAATGCAGAGAACCGTAAATCTTACCAAGCTATTTCGTAAACACTAATCATCCAAACATCACCCTGCCTGGCTCTTCAAAGGACTACACAAGTCAATGAAAAGCCAATCTTGAAGCATCTAGTCAACTTGGAGCACTCCACTTCACCAGAAGCCTCACTCACAATCAATAAACATTTTAATTTAGATGTAATAAATGGAATAACATTAGTTTCACGTCGATTTTTTTTTATATATAAATGTGATATATAACAATAATATCAAAAATTGGTTCGATGCATTGTATGTTGTTTCTTATGTTAAGATGAATTCTCATGTGTATTCATTCTATTTAAGATACTATATTACCAAAAATTGAATTTTGAATATCAAGTTAAACATGATATATTGTTGAGTAAGCAACTAAGAAGATACATAAACAAATAAGCTTCACATAAACACAGTCACAGTTATTTCTGGCATACTTCAAATGTAAAAGAGAAGTGAAATTGAAGTAATAATAAGTGGAGTAGTATGAACATTTTCGACCATCTCAGTTTCAGTTTGTCATCACATAATAGATTAATCTATTCAGTTTTTAAATTCACAGTTTAGTTGTTTGTTTATTTTACCCTAGTTCACACTAATTATTCAGTGCATACAGAAAGAATTTCAGAGATATTAGTAAGCAAGTAATATAATTTTGTAACTAATTCATTTAAATGTAATTTAATTACTGGAACTATTTCTGCCATATTAATCAATAAAAATAACTTTAGAAAAGTTCATTCGTTATTATCAACTAGTCCCTAGAGTAATCATTATTTGTAGGTTTGATAAAATTGAATCAACTAACTGAACGACCGTACACTTTATATTTAATCTATTACATCACTCTTGCTTCTAATGACTTTCAGGTATATCAAATTGCTCAGTAGAAAATAGTTTCTAAAGTGGTATTCACTTTCTTTGTAACACATTGATTCAGTCACTTCTTTCATTCTAAACAAAAATACATTTTATATAAAAGTTGGGATTCCAACACAATCTTAAACTTTTACGATATTCGGTAGTCATTTGATATCTATGTCTTGAACTAGGTATGCTTTTTACGTATTGTACACCTATACTTTTTGGCGAAAATGACGGTTACACTTTTGGAGTGCTGAAAAAAACAAAAGTGTTCTGATATTTTCATTCAAAAAATGGTAAATTGTATTTGTACACTATTCTTCCCCCATTACGAATTTCAAATACAGTACGTTCAGTTATGCTCATCAACTTATATCTAACTCAAATTGGTCATTTCTGGGGGTTTCTAGTTCGAATACTAGTTTGAATATTTCCGAATATCATGTAAAAACAAGGTCATAATTTTATTGTCCGATCAAACGAATACTATTCTGATAATCGGACGAAGATATGTAAAAAAATGTGTAAAAATAGCTTCCATTTACTGTCTTACAAAGGAAATATTCTCAAACTATGAAGTCAACTAGAATAAATATGAATTTACATAAAATAACATTCAAAGTAAAATGCAAAACTATTCAATATAATAACTCAAAGATCAATGATAATGTAATGACGCAAATTTTGATGAGAAAGATATTTCCAAAATTGATAACACTGAGTTTAAATAAAGCAAATTACTTTCACTTAACTTACCGATACGGACTTGTGAAAGAGCGAATATCTGAACTACGGTCTTCGGAACTGAAGAATCTTGTTCTTGGATGTTCGGTTTTCAGCTGGGAAAAATTTGAATGGTTTAAAGTTATTCTTTGTTCAAGAAAGTTAGTAGTAAAATCTGTAAGGATTTATTCAGATCAAGTGTTCGGAAGTGTACAGTCAACAGACAGTTTGTATGTTCTTCTCAAATATTATAATATTTATTCTGGGTATGTTTTCTGTCTTAACTTGACATCGTAATGCTTCCAACGTAAAAACATTTACGTAGATTTATTTAGAACATCTGAACGATGCATCAATCATTCCCGGTTGAAAAATCTCCGAAACGTATACGTCTTTAAACTTGTCGCACAAAAAATCATATTGGGTATAAGTCTGCTTTGGAATGAAACAAAATCTAATTAAATGAATGCAACAACCACATTTCATTATTACGCAAACAGAATTGGATCTGGCAAAATTATTATTTAGCGGTTTCCATATTATGGGGCCCTTAAGGAAAGAAATACTTATTCAGTCATGTCCAGTGTATAGCAGTAACTTTAGGAGAGGGTCTTTATGTACCCAAGGTGGTTATCTTGACAAAAACAAAATGACAAATGCACAAAAATTATTATTTTGAGTTATTTATTTCGCCGAGCAAATAAGAATATAGAACATTTCAGACAAGCGATTAGCTCACAGAACTCTTCGACGAAAAAGAGTGTATTCTCATAGCGTTAAGACCATAATTCTTCATTTTTTTATTACATACATTAATATGTATAAAAGTAACAATGCTATTTCACTTTCCTGTTTGAAATAAAGATATCTTTTAACGATTTGAAGTAAATTCAAAGCAAACTGTTTTATGCAGCCGAATTCTACCATATAAAGTCCTATAGTACCAGAAATTCCTTTAGCCTGTGAACAATATCTTATGCATACTTATATTGAACAAATGTGAAACACTAACTTTGCTAAAAATCAGACAAATGATCGCATTTACCTCAAATTTTTGGTTTGAAATTTTTAAGACTTGTTCTTGTACTTGGGAATTCTCTTGATAAACTTTAATTTTACATGACACATTTAGCTGTCGTGGATCAAAATGCTCAAGTGAAAATGCACAGTGCAGCGTAGACATTTGTGTACCATTCCAGATATGCCGGAATGGTATTTCCTGTATGCAGAAAGTTAAGAAAACAATAATTAAGTGCTTATTAATTAAAATAATTTATATGAGTGATTGTGTAGAAAATTAACCAAATGAAGATGTCAATTATTAAATGATATAGTAGTGTTTTAAGATGATAGGTTTGTGTAAATTTTCTTAACTTGTAGATTGTTTCAATAGAGAACTGGCATCACCGCAAACCATGCAGCGTTAGATATCTATTGGACTCCAGAATAGAATTCTTCAGCAGCTATACATTGACTGAGGTTGGGAAATTAATCATATGATTCCAAATGATCGATATCAATATGTGAGGAAAATGACCTATGTATATCAAAATATATCCCATTATTACCATGCCCAGGTAACTCATTAACGTAACTACACGTCATAAACTACGAGTCTAGCACTTGGATCTATTCAAGAAATGTGTTTTTTATCTGTTTCCTTAGACAGCGAGTTCAACTATATAACTAGTAATTTCATTACAAGTTTTATTTGGTGTAGACTAAAGAATAATTAATCTGATAGGAATACGATTGGAAAATATTCTGCATTGTTTCTTTTGTACTATTTAAACTTGTGTTCATCTAATTTAATTATTTATTTACTCTAGCTTACATTAAGTCACGAAACGTCAGAAATACAATTTTTCCACTCACTTGGACATAACATAAATATATTTATTCTAAGCATTGTTGGTTATTAGTGTACCTATTGTCTTGAATGTGATTAATCCAATTAAAAAGTCTAAAGTTACTCGTTATCTGTTTATCATTATATAAACCCAAATTGCGCCTGTTGCTAATTCACGATTTGTGGGTTAAATAATGCCAGTACCTATTCAATGAACGCTTCAAAAATCAATCAAGTGCTTCATATTATCAGTGTATTATTCATATATATACAAAAGCATGAATATGTAGATCCACACCTTAATAGGATGGCAGTGTAGCGGTAGTGAGAAAATAAATACTATTAAAAAGCAATTAGAAACATCACAAATGTAAAAGAAATGTTTACAAATTAAATAATAATACTAATATGACCAATCCAAGTAATCAATATGACAGATGCAACGGATTTGTAACCTAGTGTACACATGAACACAAATTAAAAAGTGTACCGGAATCCAAGGAAAATAATTATCAACAATACCATATCTGACATTTTTATCATAAATAAAAATCATCAATTAAAACGTCGATCAATATGTATTCGTAAAGTATGTACCACTATCATGAATCATTTTATTATTTTGCCTAGTTTGTAAGTCCATGACTAATTAACACTTCATTTACTCGCTATCTTAAGATTCTTGTAGCCTGTTTTTACAATTACAGTCTATCGAGTGGTGAATGTAAGAAAAAACGTCTGTGAATTATTTACTGTCTACTAATTCTAAAAGGATAATATTTAAAACTTGATATATGTTAACTAGTAATCAGTTCAGGATATGTCAGGAAGCAACTCTTGTATATAACCATTATAGAAGAATTGTCAATTATGTAACGTATCAAACTAGTTAAATTAGGACGATATCTGTCCACTCTAAGCATAGAATGTGTTACTTAATATTAGACGGGCATAAAGATATCGTTTGTTGAATTTTTTCCAAAGACAGTATTCTATTAGTTCCAAATAATGATTCAGAAATGCACGTCCCAGATGAGCAAACATTTAAATCAAATCACTTGTAATTTCGAAGAAATGTAAAAATGTATAGTGTTTACGAATGGAACAACTAAAAGTAGAAATTCAAAACACACTGTAGGCTGAAACACACCAAAATTTTAACATATGCTACAAACAAATCCCCCATTTTTATTTAGTTTCATATAACGAAAAGAGATTTTCGAAAAACCATCAGAAATATGTATATGTGTACAAACCTGTGATTTAGTTTGTAATCGGCTTCTCCATCCAGGAGAAATGTCTTCAATGCAAAAACACAATCCTCCACCATTGTCTTTGAATAATAATGACTTTGGATCATCTAAGAGTCTTCCTTCTAATCGTTTTTCTACGTATAAAACATGTTCCAATGCATCTTTAGTATCAGTTAGCACATAAACTCTTATATTATAGTCAATTGTTGGTGTGAGTGGTCCGGAAAATGCAGCCAATTTCAAAATTTTTGTTGCAGGCTGAATGTCAGATAATAATCCACTATCCTGTGTACTATCTGTCATAATGTTATTGCTATTAGTAAAGTTTGTGATATTTATATTTTGCAAACCATTTGTACTGATACCATTGGGAAAATTTTGGAATTCTGTATGATTTAGATACTTATGATTTGATATTAAGCGATTACCGCCTAGAAGTTTCTGTGTTTCACCAACTAGACAATAACGTCGTGCAACATCAGTCATTAGATGTGCCATATTTGAATCAAGATGACAAATGTATTTAGTAACGTTTGATTCATAACCAATTATTCCCACTTCCTACAAGAAGAGGGAATTGAAAAAACACAAATTTAATTACTTATTTATTCCAAAAAGATCGTACACATAACTAGTTACTGGATAACTCGCTCAATACTATCCTTAGATAAGAAACTTGCCAATATGTTTTTAACAGTATTAAACCCAACCGCTTAGCTAAAATATTGAGTATTTGTATTATACATACATACATCTTTCAAAATAGGCATGTATATTTATAAAGTTATTCTGAAATTCGTACTGTGTTTTCGTTACTTGTCATTAATATATACTGAATCTAGTTCTATGACAGAATAAGAGATAAAAAATGTAATATAGAATAACTAAGAAATAATATGAAGGCAGACGTAATTGACCATTTGAGTAACATATTTCCTACATAAATAGTAGAGACGAAACGGTGTATTATAATATGTTGAAAGGGTTCAATTAGTTTCAAGTTGCTTACGTTTCGGAGAATTTAAAACTATGACTAACATCCAAATTTGTTATTATATTTCGTTGTTTAGTCACCGACATTTCTACTGTCAAGAACAGATCAAATTTCTCAATATTTCTGAATAGGTCTAAATGTATATACATAGTATACTATTTAAATAAATTAATGATTAAAATGTCAGTTGCTTATTCTTGTCAAAGTAGTTTTGTTATCATTTTTATGATGTAGATAGACAGTTGAAAAGAAATATATGGAGGTAGAAAGCTAGAGAAGAACACATTATATTTCAGTTTTCCTTTTCCGAGGGTGGTGAAATAATCTCATTGTAGAGTGAATGTAAAAAAAAATAATGGAGTTGGAAGTTGTAAGTACATATTGTTTTTACTACTTCTTTTCTTCTCACATAAAAACAGCAATAACGATGACTATTGTAATATCAAGTCAAAAGAATGTACAAGTTATTTGTAGGGTAATGTTATTTTTTTTTAAAAAGAAGAGAGACCTTCATCTCTGTATTCAAATGCTATATACATAGTCTCGTTTTATTTGTAATAAATACAAGAAAAGGAAATATATTGATAAGTAAAATTTACATATTAAACCTCTTGCATTAGTAAACATCTTTTAAGCATTCTAGAACACTATCAGTTTATCATGAGAGGGCGTTATTTATTTGGATTTTGTACAGAAGCCGAATAGAATATTGCCAGGTTATGTAAACCCATCTTAATCTATTTACTTAAAATGATTTGACCTGTACTCTACTAATCTGACTAAAAGATAATTGATGTAATTACCAATATATCTTGATCACATCAATAATAAAACTCAATGATTTAGATAACAAGGAAACTAAACATCTGTATGGTTATAATTATATAATTATTATCTTAGCCCTACCCATGATTCCACACGACACTGAGCTTAGGTGCTTCAATTATTTTAACGAGCGTTGTTTCAAACTAGGATGAATAAACCATACAGTGCTTCGTGTTTCCAATGGTTCTGTAACTAAATATTGTTCTTGATCCTACTGGCTTCTCAAATCTACGGAAACTACAAACAGCCATTTAAATTTAGCTGATTTTGTCTGTTTGTTGATCTATTTTAGTCTTTGCATTTAAATGAATCGCGTTTTTGCTGTCGAAATAGGGGAAGCATGCTTTTGCATTCATTAAGTCTTGTTATTTCTATGAATATATAGATAATGTGTAAAACTAAATTTGAATAAATTGATAGCTTATCTACATTCCAGAGTGAGAGTATTCTATGAGTTTTGACAAAACACAGAAAGTTGACCAATAAAAGAACTAGAAAAAAGTGTGAAATAACGCTTACCTGCCATATAAAATTATGAAGATTTGTATGTAATGCACTGTAGTTGCATTTATATCCGTTTATATTTGATGTATTCAGATTGTTAGGTGAACGATTCAAATTCGGTCCTAATGCCAAGACTCGTATTAACCAATTACTTTGATTTAATTCAGCACAATGAGGAAACGATAAAAGTACAGGTTTGGACAGATTTAATCCCACTGGTCCAAATTGAATAACGGGACTTAGTAACGTTTGATGATCTGTACAAATAATTTTTAAAAAGCATAGATTCACTGTTAACCACAGAAGTTGTATATTTTTAGCCAAATTTCTGTTTCATATCATTAGCAAAAATAAATGGATTTCGTAATAAATTCATTTAAAAGGTAAAAGATAATTAAAGATTAAACTTTGATGGACCTCATTTTGTAACTAATATGACGGCTGCATTAAGGAAAACTTATTTTCAGCAGTTCCAATCTAACATCAACGACCGGAAAATACAAATCCTGACAAAAAAGGATGCCTTTATTTACCAGGATGACTTCTCACAGTCATTGTAAACATTCTGTATGTTCACCTCAAAACGGTTGTTTAATAGATTGTTAATGAGACAAAATATATCCTTCACAAGATTTCACTTCATTTAAAATATGATAGTCGTTATGATTACCATAGAGGTGATAATCTTTATCAAACCTTGTAAGTACTATGTAAACTGGTACCTAAATATCTTGTAAAATTTGAAAATCTACGACATAAAATAGTGCAAAAAGTGTATAATTTCGAGTAATTGAATAAAGTGGATCTAACAAACCGATTCAAACAACTCAAGAGTTTTAATTCACTTGCGACATGAACCCGTTTACTTTGAATATTAATCGACTTTAACTTGGTTAATTCAGAACATATATTTTACCTACTGTAATAGTGACTCAGTTTAAACAGAACTAGTTTTAACGTTTTAACCAAAATCTAGACATGGTGCAATTTAATCACTAACAGATTCTGAGAATAGAATTTATTCTAAAGTACTTTGCTTTATTTTTGTGTATATTTTTTCACTGCTGAAGCTTTTCTCACTATCTTCTATGGTATTATTACGGAAGTCGAAGAAGTTTTTCTTCCTGTTCCTCACCACAATAATTTGAAACGTTGTTCAAAATCAAGGGTATTTTGAATTTTTTTTAGACATCTGTTGGAACATCAAGAAAATAAAAGAGTAAACTAAAGAAATAATCTTCTTTATTGAAAAATTAGTTGATGTAATACAAGTTACAGTTGAGTAATAAGGGCTGAACACAATATGACGCACTGAGCGAATTTAGTTTCCAACATGTTTTTATTATCTATTTTAATTGAATGAAAAATAAATGAGTTTTTGTTTATTTTACGTCATCTCTTTTACTTTTACTTTAATTACTACTAATACTGATACTTGTTGAGGTTATCGAAATGAGGATTCGCCCAAGTTAATCAGCTTTACCAGACATATGAAAATAATGTCTACAATCTGTAAAATTAAATTATGGACACATGTTTACACAATTAATCCACAAAACTATATATTTATTTATATGTACATAAATACATGAATTCTCTATCTTACACCAATACAAACTCGTCTGTACACGTATTTAAGTTACATATAAGTATAGTGACCGTCTATTGAATATGATACTGATTATAACAAGCTTAACAACATGGGCTTTGTCACATTTTATTTATTTACCATCTGGTTTATATGTTTATGGAGACTTGAAAGACAAATAGATGTATGCCTAGGAAAGTTACTTTTAGTTTGAGATATCTATATAAAAGAATTAAGCTTTAGGTCATTTCACAGCATGTAGTTGAATCTTATTTTTTATATAAAAATTCGGTTATTTCAATTAATTGTTCCAATGGGGCTTTATTACTGTTTTCTAGGTGGGTTGAAATTGCAGTATAACTATTAACCAATGAAAGTTATTGTATTATAATCGGATTTAGGAAATTTGTTTCTCACTATTACATCATTCGATTGATTTCGTAAAGTGAAATTGGGAATCACTGAGTAACTAAAAAAAATAGAAAATGAGGAATAAAAGGTTCCCTTGGGAATTATCTTCCTAATCGACCTTCAGTTCTAGCAACTATTAAAAAATGTAGCTTTTAGTGAGAATACCTGTAAACTACATAATAAATGGTTTTAATAAATATGAAACAGGTTTCAAATAATTGGCCTAGAAAGTATGAATTATTTTCAAAGGTAACTCTTGTGATGAAAAAACAATCAGTCGAAGAAAGATCTGGACCTCATATATATCAGTTCGATATCTTTAAAAAAGGAGTATCTGACTGTATGATTAATCAGCTTCAATACATTAAATTCATCTGAAAAGTATATAATGCTTGAGTATTGAGACCAAGACCTAATCGTTTAAAATAAATAGAATTATTTAAATCCCAATAAAGAACAAGCATCGGTCAATTAAGCACATTTTCATTTTTAATTTTTTTAAATACTATAATAATCCCTTGAAACTTATTGATGTTACAATCCCAAGTACAAGTTTTCGACTCTTAAGTGTATTACAATACAAGTACAAATATCCTATAAGTCCATTGGGATACAATTGTTGAAGAAACTGTTAAAGTTAGTGATCAAAAAGTTTTTTTTTAATGTCTATTTTACTTCTAGTTGAAAATAGATGAATGTATTCGAATCCAATACTCCCCCAGTGGAGAGAAAGCAGTCTGGTAATTAAATTCATAGCATTTCAGTGACCGGATGATACCATTGAATCAAATATGTCGGATCTAAAGCTTACTATTACCTAGACCATAGTCGTTGCAGCTCAACATATGATAATTTTATAATCCTAATAGGTGCTACTTTTGTTTATAGGCAATTAGTAATGAGGATAATATTATAGTACCACTAAATAAAGACCGAAATTTGTAAGCACTTAACAAACTTAACAGAATATAGAAGTAGGTTTACCTATTTTTATGTATAGTAAGCGTAGTTTGGTTTTCTCCCATCTATTTATTGCTTGTTTTTATGATAATTTAGTGATTTAAATGTCATTTCTAATTATAACATAATCTAGATCTATTTTTCTTTTTTGGAAAAAGATTGATAACTGAAATATTTTTTTAACCTGTCTCATAGTTTATATGATATAGATATAAAGTAGCAGAACGTATACATGCAAAAATACACGCATAGGTGTCAACTTAATTTGAATGGTAATATGGTAATGTAATCTAAAGAAAATAAATTACAAATCATATCGAAAGATTGTGAACACATATCTACCAACTAGTCTATGGCATTCGATTCTGTCTTTTGAAATACTTTGAAAGTACTATCTTATGTTAATTTTACCATCGATTTGAATATAGTGATGACACACAGAATTTTGGATCTCAGTCATTTAAAAAAGATGTTATTGTACAGAAAACATGTGTTGTATGAGAACAGCCATGAAACCTTTTACCTTGACAAACGGTGTAAATTGTTTAGTGGAGTCGCTGCATATTCTGGACCGTAAAAATGATACTCTTAATAATAATTACCAGTAAAAAGCCTAACTATAGGTAAATTGTTCCTCAGACGTTAGAAAAAAATCATTTTTTATTCTCCTCGTTATTTAAATATCCTCGAATGACCACTCACGAATAGTGTTAATTACGACAGTTTTCTAACTAGTATCAACGAATGACAATTTAATTTTTGTAAACAAACGTTTCAACTAAAAACGATATTCATACACTTAATAGCATCTACAATTTTTAGTTTTTGAAAACTATCTATCAAGTTATGGTCAGCTAGCACAGTGGTCTTATAGTGAACCATAGTGGATGTGAGTTCATATAATTTGATGTAAATCGGAGCCTCCACTGTTTGTGGCATTAATAGAGAAACTTAGAACTCAGCTTTTAGAATTTTAGATGAAATATTTATATCTTTTATTTTAACTAACAAATTAATCTAAGCTTCATCACCAGCGAATGTTATTAGTCATTCGTAATGTTCATTTGTATTATAATCATCTCAGTCAATACAGTACCCTAATACTGCAATTTTACAATGAATATAGCGTTTTCGCTGTTTTTATTTCTGATTGTTACGCTTGTCAAAAAGTTCAGAAATGAGTTATCAAACTGAATGTTTCAAAGAATCATTTTGATAGAGAACGTGATTTGAGTTTATTCATCCTATAATTATGTTTAGTAATCGTTTTAACCATTGTTGTCAAGTCAAAACTATTCTGCTGATAAATGTATCAGATTCATCAGGTTCAAAGAAATTATATGCTTCTTGGACTGTTGTCAGTGTCAGTACTTTAACCATTTACAATGATCTATATTAGGAATACATATCAAACTCAGTTTTTCAGTCATTCAAACGGGGTAATCAATTATACACATGCCTTCAAAATGATCAGAAAATACTAAGGCTTCTTATCGATTTACCCTATAAAAACATGTTAACGAAATTAGGTGATAGTCATAATAAAGCTTACCATTGGAAACATAAATCAATTCTTAAATACACTATTATTTTTCCTTTAAACATATGAATGAAATTTCTCCTTCAAGTTTAGTAGTGAAAAATCAGAATCACTTAATCGTTCTTATTATTATGTCTGGAAAAATCTGTGAGAAAGCATTATTTTTCATTACATTTGAACACAATTATTTTAGAGTATGTACACAACACGTCTGTACCCGTTTTCGTTGACGGAATTAACCTGTTCAGCATGGTACAGTTATTATTTATTCACCAAGAAGTGAAATACTAGAAAATAATAAGCACATCTTTAAGCATACAAACATATGTAACCACATGGATACATTCGTTTTACGTAGTACATGACAGATGATGATTCTGACGTATATGTTATGAAAATTTTCGACCTATGTCTATATTGATCTTACAGTTTTGTTAAGTTACAAATTAAGAAAATTAAGACAGACAAAGTATTTTGTTTCGTTACATTCAAGGTGAACAGCGCCACCGATTACACTGTTGGAGAGCTTCAAATCGTTTGGTTTACTCTTTGAAAGCCTATTGGTAAGCAGTCAGCCTATTTAAAAAGCTGGATATTTGTGGAGCTGCATACTTACTAGTATAAACGAATGAAACAAAACTGACGTGTAAATTGCGTGAGATGATCATGGTTGATAAAACGAAATTGAACAGCAACTTTAAATCGTCCAAATTCAATTGCTTTTTTAACCCACTTATCATCCCTGTGCTTGTAATCATTTAACTTATTAGATTTACTCTAGATTTTCATGAATTTTAACTGTTTAAATATACCTTATAATCAATTATTTTGTTGACCAGAGAACCTAAGTTGGTAAACAAAGGTTCAAAAGGTAATTAATCATTCGTTTTATTTTCCTGACTAAAGGGTACACGTAATTCAACTATTACAATCCGATAAGTTACTTAATCGAGATAACATAGAACCAAACATATAAAGTATATACTACCACCTAGTTTCTTTTAGTTTTATTTATTTATGCTTTCTATAATCAATCATGTTCTTCTGGAAGATATCCGCTTCTGGTATAAAACTAGTTATTCGGAGAACAGAGTTTGTAATACAAGAATCAATTCTTCTCATTGATAATAGATAAATTAATAAGTTGTAGTCAATTATTCATATTTTATGCCTAATAACCTATTCATCATTTAGTTGGCGTTTGAATTATTGTATAATCAAAACACTCACTGTTTAACAACGTATTAAATACTGACTACAAAGTAGGTAGGATCTAAAGAACTTTGTAACTTCTTAAAAATCAAACATCTACTTTTCAATACAGGAATGAGAAGACAGAGTTGATCTGAAAAATGTGATGTATTCGCGCTATACCTTTCAAACAGTCTGATCACACATATACTTATCAAGGCATTTTATATGAAGATTATTAAAAGTCTAGCTACTGAAAATTGCAAAAAGTAGCTTATATGCTATGATTGTACATTTAAATGATGTTCCTATCATTTCTATGAGAATTCTCACATGTCAGACAAAGATAATCTGTTCCGTTTAAATAAAAAAGAGTACAACTTTTCACTGTAATTTTAGTATCGAATAAAGTTTTTAGAATGAATACGTTTTGCAAAATACACTGATTATCCCAATATCTACGTCAAACATGATATTATTTATTTTATTTTTTACTTAGAATGAGAACGACTATAAGCTTATAAAAGTCGGACAGAATTCTGTCCCAAGATCATCAACCATTATAACCCTAATTAAATTCGATGTGATGAAAGTATTTTGACGATTATATTTATGAAATTAATACTATGCTATATTTATCTATTTGAACACATAAATATTAGTACAAAGGGGCACCGAATACATATGTCACACAAGTCAATTGATTTGTGTGGATTGTGATACTGCACGGGTGCCCAGATTGAAGGGGGTAATTATTAATTACCTAGAAAATACTTGGCTTTATAATCTAAATAATTCAAAAATACATTTTTCACAAAACTTACATTATCTTAGACAAACCAGCTGCTTTCTTTAAATCATAGGTTGCACAGTCATGATGACAACAATTAAGAACTGCATTTTGATTGAGTATTCTTTGACAGTTTTCTGATTTATGATTTAGACTAAGTATGATTTTACAAGCGACCTACTATAGACCCTTTCAATATAAGTTTTAGTTACTGTAATCTTTGTTTACGTGTTTATCACTGTACACTTGCTGAAACTAAATTTAGAAATCAGTTGTCTGAGAAGTATATCAGATGATATCTGTAAAAGCCAACAGCTCCAGGGAGTGACTATTCAATAGCTACTAGTCTCACTCTATATTCCTCATTCTTTATAAGCTTCAATAAATTATCTACTCAACACTTCATTGCAATAGAGAACACGTTTCGCTACTTCATTGTACTACATTTGTAAACTATTATATTTTATTCATATGTATACTTCATAGACTTTCTCGTGACTAAAACAAATACCAGCAAACCTCAAAAAATCATAACATGGATCTAAAACGTGGATTGCTTCTTAGTTTTCCCAGTCCTCATATGTTGTTCTATATGGAGCACATAAGACTGACACAAATTTCTATGGAATATTTTCCTGCTTTGAAGTTCTTGCAAAATATAAACTTGTCAAAGATTGACCACGGTAAACGGTGCAGTTCTCCTCTATTTTTCACCGCAATAACTTTCTTATTATACGATTCACAGATTAGCAACAAAATGCTACGAAGTAGTTAAGCTATCAGCCACTTCCTACAGTGAATGATAGCAGATGTTAGATGATTGTTGCACATAAAATAAAGTTTATCCTGTCCCCTAAGTTGATTTTGTATAAACTTTCGGGATAAAACTTAGCTATGTGTTTCCGAATGGAAAAATAACTGAATTCTTCGAATATTGAACTAATTTCCGATCCGTGAGTTATAACAATTCGGTTTATTTGAATAAGTCTTAACATTAACAAAAATATTAACTGTGTTGATTGGAGGGTGAACTAAAATTATGAATGACTTAACAGAAGACCTGAATCCAGTATACAGCTCACAAAGTCTAATTAAAAACGTAACTCACGCATAAAATATTACACTGTAACATCACTGAATCATAAACAGTTAGATTGTAAGTTTCAATAACATTATCTTCATGATTTTGGAAACCACTAGACCATGGTGACTAAACTAATTTCTTGAAATTTATTTGCATCATCAGTCTCTTTAAATTTTTAAAGAGAGGAATATGAACAAGCTGTAACGTTTAAGGTAATTTAATACTGTTTGAACAGAATATATTATAGACACTAAGTCTTGTCAAGTAGTATCAGAGAATTTTGAGGTCTACTTTTTGTCAGTAAATGATAGAAAGTTTCGGTAGATTACTTAGCTCCGCTTCAATCTTCGTAATTGGAGAACTAAGCGTTTTCGTTACAAGTACGAAGACCTTCAATTTTTTAAGGTTACGAATCCCTTTTTCTGAAAAGTAGACAATAACCTTAGTTTATTTCATGTAAGTCCTCAGGTTTTCACCAATTCGCCGTATTCTAAACAAAGCAACTGCTCACAATCAGCCAGCACAGTTTTTCTCAGTCTTTTCTTAACAGAAATCTGGTGTTTATTATGCTTTAAGATACATTTACTCAACCTTGTAAAAACATATTTTTCCTAAAAAGGGGAAAGGTGAAGCTTCATTTCGTGGCCGGTTACTATGGCATTAATAATTATTATTCCGGGGTCTAGTGGCGAAGATTAACATTTACGTTGTTGTGATTAAACACTTAGAAATATTCAGGTTATTCCTTGAGGCTAAATTATAACTTCGACTAACATGTTAGCACAGATATTAATCATTTTATCAACATATAATTAGTCAAGCACGAACCTCACTCAATGATAAGACAAAGTGGATTTTTCATTCAATATCTAGGTAAATAATATAATTATGAAATTTATATACATTGAGCTAACAGCCATAAAAAGTGTATTACACGTCTGCTTTCTAAAACTCAGTGGGAATTCAAAATACCTGCAGGCTAAATTATTTCAACATATACTTTGCAAATAATATGAGATATATTAGTGTACCGAGTTTTAGGAAACTAGAACTAATTAAAATGTAATTAAAACATACATAAACTGAGATGTTTTCTTGATAACAGTTAAATTGCGGTATGAAGTACCAACTTTGTAATTTCCTTACCATTTTTCATCAAAAAATTAACAGTTTAATTTTAAAACTATAAGTATGCTGTAATCTCAGCCGGTTGTTAGATCAATTTCATTGGTGTCCAAGCTCGATTATATTTTGATTTAAATTTTATTCACACCTATTAGACTTACTAAGCTGACTGTTGGGTTACAAATATGTTCTTTGATATATTTTTTTAATATTTTCACTCGTGCAGTGTATTAATTAGTTGAATTTACAAATGAAATAGTTTCAAATGACCGTTGATGTTTGACCAGGATTTTATTGGCCTAAAATAATTAGTAAAAGATATTTAGTAAGTTTCTGCTATTTTTTTACTCTCAAAGAACAGGTGTTTACTTTGGTACCGAAAAGTTATTCATGGTAATTTAAAGCAACTTTTAGTACTAAAGATGCTGTCAAGAACTTTTAGTGCATTAAAGCATTGATAAATATTGATTTATGATCATGTGGATGTATAATAGCTACCTGCCGAAATCATCTGTTGTTTTCAATGTAAATAGTAAATTTTTATGCCTAAATCAAGGGTATTTTTAGACAAAAATAATTTGGATGTAATGACACGAATTTAGAATAATCGAAGGAACTATAATAATTATTGAACAACATTCGAACTACTGAAAGAATTAAAGACACCATGTATTTGATATTAAGTTGTTACTTCGAAGAGGTATACTGAATAGAATATTTTTTATTTAGAAAAATAATGAAAGTGAATATCTTACCACCTAATGTAGGACGATGTTTATCTTCTCTACATACTGCCAAATAAACTTCAACGAGTGAATTCGATTGCAGTGCACCTTGTGGTATGGTCAAGAAAACACCTGTTCTCAATCGATGTATATAAATATTTATGTGTATATGAACAAAATCACGAACCGGAACAATAACACATCCGTTAATATTTATCATATAACACCCGACAAATTGTGCCGAAGTTTGATTCACAAAAAATGTAGAGAAAGAAAAACATAGAAACTGGTTAGATATATAAAACGTTATGTAAGCTTTAGATTAAATGTAACGTTATTTTATTTTAAAAAATTTGTCTTTTTTACTGCATTTAAATGAAACGAATAAAGCAAGAGAGGTAACCACCTGGCACTAAAGAATATTGGTTAGATATTTCCATTCAAAATTTCAGAGTAGTTCATGAAATCAGATCACAAAGCACATACTTAACTCAAGGTAATTTTCAGATACGGCCTAACTCATCGAACTTATTATCCTTCTGTTGATAAGAGTCGGAAGATAACCAAAGATGTTCTATATCAACGGAACTTTAGTGTTTGATTACTTGACCTAGACTTCAGTTTTAAGGAAAATAAAAATCTATGAAGAATCTTCGGTTTCCTTTTCACAAAATCTAAAATGTGAATTAAAAGTTTTACAAACGATTCATGTAGACCGTATATTCATTTTCTTTAGCAAAGTTTTAGAGAAAATTCCAATGATTTAGATTGAGTTTTCATATGTAGGTTGACCTTCATTCATGTAATAAATCAAAAACTTTAAAACGTTTGTCCAAGAAACGATGAAATATTTAGCAGATAGTTGTTCCAGAAAAAGCCTTTCCCACTAGCTCTAGTTGTCTGTATATTTTAAATGTTATAATTTAGTAATTAATTTGCATTTTGCGTGACATAAAAATCAAAATGTTATTCGCCAAGCATTGGATGCTGAAACACTATGGTTATTTGAAACATACTATAACTTGGTTTTATAAGACTGTAACAGTGTAAGGAAAAAATACCGGTGAGCGAAATATAAAATATAAAAGAACATACCTGATTGTGGCAAAGCTAGTTGGTCACCATCGCACGATATAGTTTTACGGACAGTTGTATTCAATTCTAGAGGATCATTAAATTCACATAAAATAGATCGATCAGATGAAACTGTGTCTAAAGATAATTCATGGTATAACCCGGATTCTGGTTCACATTTCTCGTTGCACTCATCAATTTCCACGTTTAAAAAATTTATGTTATAGTTATTGGGACTTATGTTTGTTAGGCATCTATTTAAAGGCAATCCTACTGATCCAGTACTACTGCCTCCATTGCAAGATCCGATTGCAGTAACAGTTGTACCTGTATTTGCAGTGGAAGGATCAGAAGAACTCTCGATTGGACCACCTAAATTGCTAACAGCTAAAGGTGTTGAGAAGTGTGGTCCACAAGTAGTTCTGGATATCCCAACTTCTGATTCAAAATATGTAGGTCTGTAAAAAGGGGAATAACATTGAGAGATAGTTGTGATAATTGTGCACGATTTTTAAGCTGCAGTGCTCTATCAAAATGCAGCAAAAACAAACTGGCTTCTTCCCAAACCTTCTTTATAAATTTTATAAATGTTATGAGTATAAGTTCCTGGATTCAACTGATGCATTATATAGTGTTACTGTAGTGAACGAGAACACAAGAGGGGAAAATCGACTGTATTTGAGCACAAAATTACAGAACATCTTAGAAAAATCTGAGAACCATACAGTAAATACTTCATTTGCAAATGTTAATCAATCATCTCAGACTTTACTGTTCCTTCATTTGCATAGCATTCATTCACTGTTCTTATTATCTTTGATCTTCTTAAGCTTCTGCCTCCAGGCATTTCACTTCCGATTGATAATACTTACTACTTATATCTGTTGACATCAGTAGCATACACTGCATTAATTTTATTAATTTTATTTTCACTTCAATTTTCAAAAGAATGTCTGTTAACTGGTAGGAAACTTGGTCGCAGTTTAGCAATACAATTACAAATTATGTTATTTTAACACAATTACTAAACATAGTTTCAATTATTCGCGAACTCTTAAGGCTCGATCTTTGCATTAATATCACGATATAGCTGAATCGAAGAGGTTTGACCAGGTTACAGTTACTTAGAGACTCCACAAACTTTTAAAACAAAGTGACAACTTTGATAATTCAAAATTGTCCATCAAACCTTTAATTACTTTTAAACTGAAAACATTTTACCTCAGTGAAGTAAACTGAAGATTTCCACCAACTATGAAGTCATTTTAATTTCTGTATCCTACATCAATGTACATGCTGTTAACTATAACAGAATAGTCAACAGTTTTATCTCATATCGTCTATTTTTCTAAGGTAAATTTTGTCTAATATTAGTAACTCTTTTGTGTTGAAAATTTCTTAGCTCATTGTTCTCAATCTCTAAAATAATTGTTCCCTTTCATAATTAAAGAAAAGACTAATGACAACAAAATCTAATGGAAAAATACACGCCCTAAATTTGAAAAAATCCTTTTAATAACAAAATAAAAGAGAACAAGTTCAAAGGTCATGTAAGTTAAAATAGTCATTACACTGTTTTCTTGGATGATATAAGTCCAAGGAAAGCAGATGAAATTAATGGGTTCGTTATTTCCTTTTGAAGCTTTGAAATAGTTTTATTGAAGCAAACTTAATTAAAATTTAAGAAAGTATTTTGAGATGATGTAGACGATTTATAGCTCAGATCAGTGATTTCGGTATAGTTTCATTCTGTGAGTTGTGGGGTTTTAATGTAAGGCTTTCATCTTCCCTATGAATTCTATCATGAGCACAAACTTTAGAGAGCAATGTTGTTGTTACTGATGTTGTTGCTTCTTAGAGAGCAATGTTGTTGTTACTGATGTTGTTGCTTCTTATCGTGTTATTGTTTATTTATTTTAAATGTCATCCTCGTCAACCTTGTTTTACCTCGTAGTTGTCTATGATTTATCTAACTAATCAGTTGATAAGTTGGATCAACTTCAATGTGCGTGGCTGTTAATTGATTTAACTGCCAAGCTTCTAGAAATATTCCTTGTATTTACTTTAAAATAATGTCATTAGAATATCATACATGTGGTCGACCTTTTTCAAAATCGTTTGCATTAACACAGAATAGCAATCAAACACCCTGATATATTTCCCCATACATCAATATCCATCAAAATTATCGACTTACACTTGACTGGAAACCTTGGATAAAGTGTATAAAAGAAAATCACTTCTCTCTAAAGATTGTGCTGATGATAGCAACAATAAGGAAAAATGTAAGCCTTAAAATTAAACCACTCAGACCACAGATTGAAACTTCATTAGAAGAAGCTATTTATTTAGGTTACGACAAGATAAAGAAGTCAACTAATTTCTAGTTTATTTATAAATATAAATCAATACTTAATTTGGAAAAAAAATTTCTAAAAGTAAACATTTAGAAAAGTACAAATTTTAATATTTTATTGAAATAATTGGAGACTAATTCAATGAGATGATGAGTTAACAAGTTATAAGATATGGCTTATGTGAAAGTATATTGCTATACAGGGCATCCTGATTGGATTTGAGGCAGGAAAACACGTTTATTTTCAATTCTGCATGTAATGCCTATTATTATATTCTAAACAAAACACTAACCAAAGTTTCTAACTAAAAGCCCGAGAATAAAGTATATTTTGTTCAGTCACTAAAAGTATGAAATACCTTGAGTTCAAGAAAAAAAAATTAACCTAAGGGGAGATATTAGCTCAACTTGTGTTTAATGAAACAAGTCAATGTTAATTATTTACATCAGAAAAATACAGTATATTTTTAAGATTTAGATCATCTTGGTAACTGTAGATTTTTAGGTACTACTTCGGTACTATTAGTGATAAGAGACCAAATTGAGGGATACATTTTGATAACTTTCAGATTACTAGTTTATACACCATATTTATCAAAATGTTACAACCTATACGTAAATTAGCAGGCCTCAGTTATTACCGAGATGTAAAATACCACCTTCATTTCCAATTACTAATGACCAGGTGTGATTCTCTACAGCTAAAAATTCTTATAATTATTTGGACTTGTTTTTTATAAACAATGTTAAGTACGATTTTTTTTAAATGAAAATATATGGAGAGAATTACACAATATTCTCAGTAGAAAAAAGACATACAGCATGGGGAACATGATTTCTCCATTATTCTTACTAATAAATAGAATCCAATGTTTTCAACTTACGAGGGAAGATACTGTTAAGTTAATTGTAAATTATGGGCAAAAACATAAGCATATACTTATACTTAATTAGAAAATAACCGGTATTTAAATAAGCTAAGATGTCACTTCATATTCGCTTCACTTATACATAATAAATTTGATAAGAATGATTAATTTTTTCTTACTGGTTTGACTGAAAGTCATTTTATCTAGTTTTTAGGCTGAGATAACACGTAAATCATGTGGTGAGCAAGACTTGTCAACATATAACTCATGAACACTATCATCGGATTGTTTATATTCTTTTACATTGTAATAAACCTAGTTAAAATAAATGACTTGATACTACACTAATTATAAAATACTTGACACATAACAGAAATGCACTTTCCTGACAAAATTGATGCACCAAATGTTTATTCCTAGTGAAAAGTTGTAAACTGATTTGTTGTCTGTTAACTGTGTAGTCATTTCATACCTGATCAAAAATTTTAGTTGTTGTGATATAACATTTTGATAATGAGGTTTGATGTTTTAAGGGAATATATTTGAACATTGAATCAATAGTTCTTTTCAACTCGTGATCATAATTTACCAGCTAAGCAAAAACAAAAAGATCGACAAGATTCTGTTTCAAGGCTTCTCATCGTGTTTATTTATTATTAATATGTCCTCACAGAATTAATACTTCAAGGTTTGGTATATTTTAGATAGTGAGTATGATGTGAGTGTTTGAAACAAAACTGAAAATTATTATTATCAACGAAATAGTACACAAGATATATAATTAACATCAGTTAAAATTGATGCATGTCTATATGTTGGAAAAATAGTCATGCAGAATGACAAAGATAAGGTTATATTTACTAATAATCATAATAAAAACAAGAGACTGTATTGAGAATAGTAAGTGATCAGATAATTAATCGGCATGATTAGGACTAAAATCGAAAAGTCACATGTGAGTATCAATACGATTATGCAAGAGGTAAAAAATTATTTGATTACAATCATAATCACCACGGCACTGGAAAACTATTACTCTAATTCTGTACACATAAGCCAGGTCAGAAACTTTCGATTTCAGTTGCCTTTGTAAAATAGAGTAAAATTGGCGTTAGATGTTTGATTTAGAATGTTTTTCAGATGTTTACACTATGTCCACTATTCACCAAATATCTGACGATTTTATTATGTAAATTAATTATGTCATCATTTATTATTTACACTATTATTGTGCAATCTCTTATTTTTATTGCGGTTATTAGTACATATAACTTCGTTTCTACTCTCCCTACATATATGTAACCCTGGAATGTTGAAAATAAATACTTACTCAGTCCCTGAATTAACCATTTGGTTATTAAACTCGATATTTGTTTGTAAATATGGATCAGAGGTCAAATATCCACTTATTTGACACGATGCTGGATTCATAAAATGTTGTGTACTTGGCAAGGTACTCGGAAACCCAGTATAACCGGATATATCTGATGCTCCGTGACTACCATCGAAATTGATTGATGTAGTTGGAATTGGTGGTAGAGATAGAGGTAGTGGTGGTGGTGGAGTCGGAGGAGGGGGTGGTGGTGCAGGTGGTGGTGGTAAGTTTGCTAAAATTGACGTTGTTGTCCCCAAAGATGTTCCGTTAGGAAAGCCCAAAGTCTGTTCAGCTGTACTCAGGGGAATATTATTGACTGGAGTAGTATTGTATTGGTGTTGAAATAATATACCATTAATTCCACCGTTTATTACATTTACTCCAAACGTTTTACTGTTTATATTGTTACTATTATAATTTGGTTTCATTCTGTTCATCTCCTGATTTTGCGTATCGGCCACACTTGGATTCATTATTGTAATCGTAGTTTGTGTCATGTCACTGGGTAATAGCAAGTCTGTAGATGATGAAAAAACTCAAAATGTGTTAAGTATCACTTGGGTGAAAATGAATGCGAAAGTCTTGATTTTTCTTCATAAATAAAGATTAGTAAATTTTAGTAATTTGAACAAAGCTGTCTAAAAATAAAAACAAGTGGCTCCTATTGATCTTTGGAACTGTGAAACAACAACTTAGGTACTCTCACCAATAGTTTATTTAATATACTAATGCGAGTTCTGCAACATAAATTACTCAATGATCATTAGAAAAGTAGTTTATTTCAGCTCAAAGTGTTGATTATAACTACTCGAAAATGTATAGTAAGACGAGATTAAAGACGGTGACAATCATTTCATGTGTATAAAAATGTTAACCGGAGTAATTTTTGCCAGTGTTAAGGTACTTTTAGAGTGTGTTGTGAAGTGCAAATGTGATTGTATTACTCCAGTTGTTATAAAACCTTTTCTTACACATACTATAGTTCATGTAATTAAATTGCAGGTAAATTATAAAATGATTTACTTGTATGGTGTTTTTGAAAGTTAGTAAACTTTCATGAACATTGACTGGATCTAATGTGACTAGGAAATGTGGCCAACGAAACCATAATCAAGTCTTTAAAATGATCATAATCCAGATGTTGAGTAGCTTGGTGCACTCTTAGCTCTCTTGAATCACACACGGCATATCTGGTTTTTTATTAGTAAGCTTAATCTTCTACTTTCGTGAATAAACCCTAAACGATAAGCCTAAACAACAAAGTGAGCCCAGGATTTTAAAGGGTTTGTGTGAACTCCTTCCTGATCTTCAAAGATTTTGTCCATAACCATAGACAAGTTACCAAACCATATTCATAGTTAAAATATTATGAATCATGAGCTTCAGTAAACATTTTTGTCTAAATCATGTTACTAGTATTCAATAGCAACGGGGATGTTTGATCAAGCTTCCTCTTTATAATAATGTACAACGAATTAACATTGATTTTAGAAGAAGTGGAATGAAAACTAATCAAATACTATTTTAAAACGAACCACGGTTTCAGTAGTTCACAGATATATGGTTGTGGTCCAGTGGTCCAGTTCTAAACTAAAATTTCAGTAGTATAAATCGAATCACCTTAAAACATTAATTATCGTTCAGTTTGCTTATTCTTTTGATTGAAAAAATACTTTAATACTATTAAATATTCATATTATTCCACTTGAAGCCAAAAATGACACACCGAAATAATGATGACTCTTTCCTTTTCACGAGGATTTATTTTACAAAAGTGAATTAAACTACTGAATTATCTCGAAAACCGGTTGTATTATATCCATTACTTCTAATTTGTTATATAAATAACTCATTAAAGAAGTCGGCGATGAATATGAGTAGTATGAAACTCTAATACATTCAAGTCAAATTATTATTCTATTAGAAAAAAGTAGTAAAATCGCTCTTAAAAACATTAATAACTGTATTGGAAGTTGTTTTTCTCCCAATATACTTTACACAAAACAACAATAGTTTCTTTGACAGCTTACCTTGGGCTTTCTTATTAGCTATTTCTTGACGACATGAACGTTTACCTATTCAAAATATAATCGAATCATAAGAATTTTTAACTAAGAATTGGTCTAATTGAGAACATGATTTAAATTTTTCTTAAAAAGCATTAAATATACAGCAAAATGAAAAAAAGCTTTTTTAAAGAACAGGAACGAAGATTTGACCAGAATCATATGGATTGATTTCAGTGGGTGAGACTCTCGATTTACTAACATTTTGCTCATTTTGACTGCAGCATTTTAATTTTTTCCAAATCCATAATTTTATTTTCAACTGATTGATCTCAACACATTCTATTCTTAATTACTACTAACTTCTGTTCATCCATTTATTTACATAACTAAACGGCTTTTTAAAGCTCTATGATTTCTGTTGTTAAGTTTGATGTTCTAGTATCTCATTCCGTACAAAGTATTTATATGAAACACCTTTTTATAGTCCCCAGATCTTATTATCTTATCTAATCATTGCTCAACCATGATGATAAGTATTCACATCTAATCTATGTCACTGTAATAAGTATGTTAATTTGATTTTAAAATATTATAAGCTGTAGGCATCTACTGAGGACTTAACAAAATAAGATGAATTCATGAGATTCTGCTCAAATCTTTGTTCTTGATCTCTTCAAGATAATAAAAGGAACTAATTGTATGAAAAATCTTTTACTGTTTTCTTCTCCTTATCTCATAGACTTCTTTTTTCGAAAAAAAAATTACATTTGCATCGCCGAAATTCAGAAAGGCCTGAGTTTACTTTAATACATTTTGTAATAATTCTCATGATATCCCATGTGATGTATGGATAAAGAAACACAGGAGAATTAAATGGCTTAAAGAAAACCCTTAATATCTTAGATAATATTCCATTCAATAGAATAATTATTAATCGAGTCACATGTATTTCATTATTAATATAACTAATTAAAGCTTTTTTATATGATATTAAATTTAACATGTTTTATTAGATACGCCTAAAAGCTGTTTTTGTTTTTTTAAACTGTATCTTTAATATTCACTTAGTATGGTTTGTTTGAATCTTCCCATTGATGTTAAGGACTGCAACTGGTCAGTTTCTTATTGGCCATATGTGCATACTGTGCGTATTGCCTTGATACTGCCTTAACTCACAAGCATTATAAGCAAAGATGGATAGTGGCTAGTAGTGGAATCCAGGATGCGCGTCACTCCGTACAATTTGGGACTCGTCAGCTGGATGTACTGCATCTCATAGTTGATGTTCACTCTGGGACTCGAACCCAGTACATTTCACTTCAAATGCCATCACGTTGTCCAACCAGCTACTGAGTCCTGATAGCCATTTGCTTGTGCAATGAGGTGAAGTTTAAATTCACTTGGTATATCGAGGCAATGCGCACAGCATGTACATATGCCAATAAGAGACTGATCAATTGCAGTCTTAAACATCAATGGGAAGATTCAAACAAACAGTCCCAGAGTGAACATCAACTCTGAGATGCAGGTGCATCCAGCTGACGAGTCTCAAATGGGACGAAACGCGCATCCTGAATTTCACTGCTAGCCACTATCCATCTTTGCTTTTAATGTATCTTTAACAATTTGAATTGAATTGTATTTTGAGGAAAATGATAAAATTTTCATTTGGCTTTTTTGTTTTAATGTGGTGGCCGAAGTAATTTTTAACTATATGAACTAGTTTCCATTTGATTTTCATATGCTGAAAGAGAAAACAACGATTTAAGCTAATGTATGATGAACTTAAGTATTTGCTTTTGAGATTATAACATAATATGTTATTAAACAAGAAGATGAAAAACCAAAGATGTTTGGTCAGTTTCACTATTTTCAGATGACACTAATCTAAATACTGAACTGCCGTTCAGTTTATGAGTAGTAAGTCAATGAAGACCTAGATCGAGAAGTAAATCCTCTAGAATAACCTGACTCTAGGCTAATCATCAGTAAAATATCTCCATATACCATGGTTTATACTTAAAATGTTTAAATCATGAACAGATAGCATAAGTTTTAGTGTTTTCTACACTTAACTGTCAACGGAATTTCTGTTTGCAGTCAGTTATTTATGAGTATAGATCGTGACATTCCATATGAAATCGTTCATTATCTTTACACTTATATACAAGTTTGGTTTCCCGTTACATGTGTTTAGTTTAGTTTTTACTGTATCGCATTTCTTCCTTATTAATTACTTTTTTCATAGATAAATTAAAACTGTTATAAAGTGTGTGTGAGATTAACTCATACTCTTTATTCTTACACTGAAATATCCTCTGTTAGGTTGTTTGTCAATTATTCGTATTTGAATTCGAAACTTACGTTTTCTTCTTTACAAATGTCAACAACTCAGAATATTAATTTCCTTACTAATACAACACTCAAACATCACTAACCTAATAATCACTGCCTGTCATCATCTTTTTATTTCACAATTTACAGAACATATTAAGCACCATCTAGATTTCATGGTTTTCAGAAAGTAGTATCTGGTTACATACAAAAAAAACATTACTTACTATGAAGACAAGCAGAATAACGAATTGCCCGAGTTGTAGAAAATTTCAAACTTTTTCGCCTAGTTATTAGAGCAACAACAGCTAGTAGCACAGCTAAAGACAAAAACAGACCAACATAAATTGCGATTTCTTCAGTTCTAAACATTGGTGAACTTGATATTTTTAATGTAGTAGTTGGTGGTTTCATATCTGAAAGGTGAACTCCCTTGAGAACGACGTTATTCATGGGATCTAAAAAAAGATAAATTGACGTGATATACGAAACGAAAAAAATATAATACTCATAAATTATTTTCGTCAGATAAACATATTTTTCACCCTATAGTTCACGTTTTTTGAGATGACTGAATAAAATTTTAAACAATTTTGTTGGAACTTTGAAAAATAACAAACGGTATTGTATTAAATTTGCTCTAAGAACTAGGGTACAATTCATTACATACATCCGGCTATTATCTCTTTTAATTTCTGGCAATTTTAATGTATCAATTTTCAAATGAAGACTAAGTTTTATTGGCTATTAAGTGAACAGGTTCACTTACACGAAACTAACTATTTTGTGCCTAATAACATTTTATGTTACGATAGATTAAAAAATCCATCCACAAAATACAAAGTAAGCGACTACAATCAAAATAGACACTCATCCTCTTGAAGTGCAACGGTATGTCTATGAAACATCTTGAAAAATTTTGTGGCTTGTAAACCACTTAAAAAGTACATAAACTGAACAGAAGTAAACTTGATCAAATATGTACCGTTGTCCATTTTTTAGTTATTTAAAAGATATTTTAATACATAAATTCAAATTAATTAATGAAGTGAATACCAATAATTTAATGATTCTTTTAATTCTAGTAGTTGAAAAATTGGATTTAATCGGCAACATTATTCAGGTATGATGTAGATTTTTATATCATACCTCTAATCGCTTCTGTTTTTCAATGAATTACTCAAGTCAAAAGTTTTAAGCTCTCAGTTACTTTGCTCGGCTGAAATTATTTAGGATATGTGAAGACAAGCACGTTCACTAAACTCTAATATTGAAAACTTGGCTAATTGAAAATTAACATATTTCTGGTGATTATTTGCCCTTATTTTATGTGACATTGTGCTTGATAAAGAGGAAAACCCTTGACAAATGCTTTGCATGTCATTAGCTTTTATTCGAGTAATATCTCCTTTTATTTCTGGCGTTTTTACATATTCATTCTGAAGTGTTAATATGCTGTTTCAAAAAATTGACAAATTTTTCTCAACCTGTCTGCTTCGATCAATTTTACACTGTATATCATATTACTTTATTGTTCTACTTCACCATACTTTTATCTGTAACACATTACTTGAAAAATATATGAAAAACTAGTTATCAGTTGGTTTATATAATTTAAAAATTGGCAAGTGTATTGTATTTCAAACAACATGTCCTCATATATCTAGATCAGTCGGTTTCAACGTAATGTAAGGTCCTGATCGTAACTTTAAGTTGGGCAATGATTTATTAACTACTACCGGAATGGGAACGATAATGCTCAAACCATTAGTTTACGCAAGCAGAATTTAACTTACTGGTACACTGACTGGAAGAGCAATTTCTTGTCTGGAATAAAGGCAAAGGACATTGATCTGTTACTAGATGACTCACATCAAGTGATTTAAATTCAGTTTTTGAGGTTATTTGACTGGCACATATACGATAACGTGTTTGTTGACAAACTGTTCGAGCATTATTTCCTTCTGCTGTAAGTTTATAGCATGTTCCCCACTCACCCCAGTTAGTCAAACCACCACCCACCGGTCGATTCATGGCGGAATTGTAGGCTAAAAGTAATAAGTGGACATTGTTTTTGAGAATTTAAATTTTGTTGAAGTATTTCCAAACTTAATTCGCGGTTATAAACTATTTTAAAACAATGATTTGAATGTAACAAACGGATAACATAATGGGCAGAACGACAATGTAAACTCTGAAGTAAAGTATTCAACTTAGATAATACAACATCAGTTAAAAAGAATAATTTAATCACTTGAAATATTATATTAGGCGGCTGTTGGCTAATGTGGTTGAGGTTGTTTTAAAAATATGTGAACTCGTTGATTATACATGAGTACACATGTAGCAAATGTTTTTTTGTACACTTATCGTTGAATAAGTTAATTGCACTGAAATATCTCAGTTTTCTAAACGTTGAAATAAGAATTTACTGTAAAACGAGTTTCCAATAAGTAAATTTTCAATTATTAACTACACATTATGTATTTCATAAGACAAGGTCATTTCCTATTTACAAACTGCTGACTCAAATAGCAATGTTAATAATGGTTGAAAAATTCCAATATTTTGCTGTAGAAAATACGAAACTCCCTGTCCGATGTTCCAAGTAGTTACTTATTTTATTTCTAGTTTTAAGATGAAGGGAAACCAACTGGCTGTTCTTTACAGTATGAAACGTAGTATTAGTTACTAGCATTTGTAATCAAAGGCAAAGGTTTTAATTGTTTGAAGTTATGAATCAACATGATAAGTAAACAGGTATCTGGTAGACAATCCAATATCCTGTCATTCCTAACGGTAATGGCCAGAATATGTGACCCCGATTAAGTTTTACCTCGTATTTCTGTCGGTGTTATTTCAAAACCAGTAATTAATTATCTATAAGCTATTAAAAGCAATTTCTCCTGGTAATTTTAAATTAAATATGCGCACATACAACTTGAAATTGAATTGATGTACTTAGTTAAGTCAACTTGGCACAGTAATTTGTGTGGCGTAATTTTTTAAGCCTAAACAAGTCTCTTTCCAATTAAATAGTTACGTTTTCCTATGTCGGAAAATCTAATTATTTTTTTTAACATTACTTTATGTAAATGGGTCACTAGGATTTCGTAAAACTCACATAAATATGACTTACCCTCCTGTTTAATTAAGCGCATACACATCAGTTTTTAAGTTATTGGTAAACTTTGTATATACATTTTATTTGCTCATTTAACTAAAAAGTGACATGAATTGGGCTTAATATTGTTACATACGTTGAAAGCATCAGTTATTTCTTTTGCTTGATTGGCAAAAAACAAAACTTTACTTCCTGCTACTTAGTCAAACGAATATTGAATAATATGTACAATCCTAAATTTGTTGCAACAAACCTTGAAAGTATTACCAGCTTAGTGAGGGAGTTAATTTAAACAAGGAACAGTATCAATCAGACTTACGGAAAATATTGACTCGAGCAACTGCACGTCTTTTCTCACCATTGAGACAGGCCGCTACACATGTATAATTTCCACTGTCTGAAGTTGTTGTATTCTCTATAATCAAATGATTATAGTCATTAATTACAATGTGTGGAAACGATTTAGTATCAACACGCTTTCCATCTTTTAACCAATAAACCTAAAATTAAGATGATAAAATAAAAGAGCGAAAGGCAACTTTGATATTTGTTTTTTTTGGGGGGATTGAAACCAAAGAACAAAATAAATTCAGAAACTATTAAGTGATCCCAAAGAGTATTCGTATTTCCATATTCATATATATAGTCTAAATCATATTTACCACAGATGCGGGTCAATGATGCATGATTTAGATTCTAACCGTTTCGACTTTTATAAACGTTCACAAATTCATCGAATTATTTACCAGTGAAAGAAATCCCATGCCCATATACCTTGACAATAACAGTAACCATTATTATAAATAAATTAATATATTTGTAATATCTCAATGAGTAGAAAAATAACCATTATTATTTACTTTGAATCTTAAGTCAGTCTGGTAAGTTCCTCAAAATTATGATGTTATATTCAGTTTAAAGTTTACTGATCAGTTTCAACTAATCAATGTTATTTGAGTGATTTTATCATTTTATTAAAGTTTAACTAATGTTATAGGGTACGTAAACGCGTAATTCATCAAACCATTTTGTTTCAGAACGATGTAGACAGCTTAACTAAAATCCTGGAACTTGATTTTTTTTCTTCTTATATGGACGAGCAAATTATCAGTAGAAACAGTATTCATATTTAATAGATTTATTAAATTTGTTCAAACCAAAGAATTTATTTCTATTGACTAATGCTTTACTAGTTATATTGGCAAAGTAATGGAAATGACATTTTGATTTTCAATGTTAAAACTTCGAGAGAGACAGTGAGAAACTTTGTTGTCTATGATAAAAGTATATATATTCCTTGCATGAAGGGATATGTTAGGTAAATTTATGTCTTAAGTAATATTTTGAAGTTACAGTCTTGTTCTTCTGGAATGATTATTAGTAACAGACATCTATTTGGAATGTTTAATAAGTTTTCTGCTTAAACTTTATTTTTTCTATTAATTCTCATCACATTACAACTTAACATATGCCTTTATGTAGAAAAACCAAATAATATTTTTGTTTAGTTACGAAAGTGTTCTCTCCAGTTTATGAATAAAATCCGTTTCTGTCAAAATAAAATCATTAAAAACCTTAAACTTTTTTAAATAGTTTGTATAAAACCATTAGACCATAAATGAATGAGTAATCTTTCGAGGGATTGATGTGCCAATAAATAGGAGATTAGAATCTTTTAGAAATTTCACTCAATTACTGTCACTAAATACAACTGCACTCATATATAAAATTTTAATTTTTGTGGATAGTTTTATGCGATAATGTCATCATTTTTAAAACTGACGATAATCAAGTCACACTACATAGGATACTTTTCTTAGTTTTGTGAGAGGCTTGACGGACTGAACTTTTGGACTCAACAACCGACCTGTGAAATAAGTTATTATAGAGAATAATGAAACCTGGCTTCGCGTAGTGCGTTATTGACCAAATTCATTAAATTCTGACTTTAGTGCCGTATATTCAAATGGTGTTTTTGAATAATTTAGATGAAAACTTTTGTAGTTCCTAAGATGAATCAAATTGAAATACTAAAAATTCATGGACACAAATTTAGAAATAGTAAACACCGAAGTTAATATTTCTTATAATATAATAACATATTTTAAAGAGTCCTAGACTTCAGGATTTCTTTTTGATGCTGTTCATGAGGACAAAGTGATTTCTGCGATTTCTGAATTTTCAATGACAGTATTAAATATTTTAATTACGATAGCTATACGCAAGTCGGTAATTAAATTTCAACCAAGTTAAATAATTTGATGTTTGAAGTTTAACTTTTCTGAAGCGCGACGAGTTTTTTTTACCAAAATGTTGGATATTTTGACAGATAATTTGATTCTCCCTGGAAAAGCACTAACAACGATATAATGAAATAAAAATCAAACTCTCATGAATATAGTACTTGGACACTTATGGGACTATAGATGTTTAAAAATTTACTTTACACTAAAGTCATGAAATAAACCAGGGCTCTTGCTTAAGTTCACTCTGATAAGTATCTCATTTTGTACACTAACAGGCAGTATCTCCAAAAGACTGATGACTTGTTTTATTCTATTCGAATCACGTTTATAAAACACCTAGTGATTAAAATCTGTTAAATGACACTACTAGAACATTCATGGGTGTTAACATTATTACTGTTTTTTAAACTACATTATAAACTTTGTTTATATTACTTTTTCTATTATTATCACACCCAGTATTGGATATTGTAATCGTAATATGATAGACAATGTCTGTAAAGAAAATACAAATGTACACAAACAATTTGATTTATACCTATTTCTTGAAAAGGAAGTTAAACATTGTATTTCACAAAACTCTTCTAAAAATACTTTCACATACTAATTAATATCAGTGGCTACTATTTCTCCTCTAGCTTTTATCAAGTCATATAAATCAACTATGAATATGCATAAAGGATCCAACGAATAAGTATTAGTTTTTGAAGTAGTGTTGATTTAGGTGGTTGGTGTGCACAAGTACGCTTGTAGTTAATAATAGCCCTAAAAGTACAACTTGTATCTAAGTATGTTTCACAATTAGGAGAGCTAATTAGTAACTATGACATATATAAAAGCGGAAAACCAAAACATTAGATTATAATAATAGTAGCACAAGTAGATATTTATATTTTTTGTAAATGTTTCTTTCCAAATAGCAAAAATAGTCAAATGAGCAAAAATAGCAGTCATTTAATTTTTACATTATTTCCTCCTTGCCAGGAATATATTCACTTACATAGTTCTGTTATTCCTGACTTTGTTTTAACAAAATGTCAATCAGAAGTTTCCTAAACGACAAATAGTATTAGAAGTGTCTCAATACTTCTTTAGCATAAAAAATTAACGTATTCACGTGTATGTTCTACCCTTACCGATAAATACATAATCCTTTAACATGTTGATACACCTCTAGTAGACATAGAATATAAAGTTAGGGTACTCGTCTGCTTAATAACTTAAGCTAAATTTTGGATTTATTGAGAACCGTTTCGCAGCGGTCGTTGTAACGGCTAATATAAGCTACTGCATGCTTAGTAACGTGGGTTATTTTGTGAAAGCGCATATCACATAGGTTGTATGATGAAAGTTAGCAACCATCGTCATATAATTCCTCTTGCAACGTAATTAAAAACAGAACTTGGTTTAGCATGAAAAAATTTTATTCTGGATATTACGATTACACAATACATAAAATACAAAAGAAAATAGTTATCTCAATATTATTCAAATAGCTATATTCTTTGCAAATAATACAATACCTATGTTAGGGTAAAATGATACAGTTTCCCACCTCCATAGTGTTGTTAGACTACCATTTACACCTATGAAAATTTTGACTAACTAGTTTACTTAGGCTGTTTGCCATGATTTATTAATATTTTCGGTTGATTGACCCATTTTGGTTGATGGCGAAGCACGTGAACAAGCCAATCAATATTCGCGTAACGACCAAAAATCCTCTAATAGGATAGAGCAAACCTATTCGATATAGTTTAGGCTGAGTACTATCCACCAATAAAATAGCTGCTAAATCCTTCTAATTTTTCTTGGAAACCTTTTAAACAATTGAACGTCGTAATGACAAAAATAACTCAAATATTTGTCAGGAATGACCGACTAAACGATCAGAAAAGCTATATCCGTTTACTATCTACGTAACTAGATTTCAACCAAACCATTTATTTACCTTCATGCCTTTTTGTCAATTTTTTCAGCTAAAAAACAGTGATTTAAGTAATACAACGATATTGAGTGTTGGTAAAAAGATTCTTATTATTCAGTTTCAATAAAATAAACCATATTTTAGACATTGAAAGAAAATTAGACTTTATCAGTGAAATTTCATCTTACTGACAAAGCTTTCAAATAATAATGGAACTCATTGAGATGCAGCTGAGATAGGTTTTATACTGATATTATATAATGGGAAATATAAGTACGTTAAAAGTTCTCTGTCATACGTTTGAAAAAAAGTATTTCAGCACTTCTAACCTTGATCGAATGCGTCCCTTCTTTATTTCTATAAAAAACGTACGACGTAGTTTTATTAAACGTATTAAACAAAAACCCTATAACTTAAATTACATACATAATTTCTCATTGTTTTTATTGGATAACTGAAGAAAATTATATTATAACGATTAAAGTAGGGAAATTCATTGTAATATTGATGATGTAAGAGAGATAATATAGATATAATAGTACCTTCAAATTCATGTGACAATTAAATAATGAAGTAGTTAACTGCACACCTAAATTTATGACCATAAATATTCACTTCTTAATTACTTAAAAAGCATTTTGAATATGGTTCGGCATTTTACAACATTTAAATTGGATTGATATTTTATGTTTGTTTTTTTCAGTAATTTACAAAATAAATCTACAAGACCCCCTAGGATATTAAGAGTTCAAATAGATCTGTGCGATGTAAATTTTGTTAAGAATACATGAGTTCTTAATGAACGCTTAACCTTTATCGTATTCTAGATAATATCAGAAAACTTTTTGAGATCATTTAAATGTTTATACACTGTCCAGCCTAGTAATTTAATCTGGCATTCATGATTTCTATTAAAGGTAGCCAGGATGTTTTTATGTCTCAATAACTAGTATTACACTTAGTTTAATGGGATTAAAAATGGTTACTTAAATTTTCATCCAAGCTTACTCAAGCCTATGGCAATTTTTTTTCCAAACTTTTAGATGGTTGTAAAAAAATATGTTTCCATGTTTGAACTCTAAACAACTTCTATTCAAATTAAACACTAATTAAAAAGAAAGGATATTTAAACTAGAACAAAGATGAGCTCTCTTAGATTTTAATCTTATCTTTGTGGTAATTAGATATGGGCTTGTGATAGGAACTACCATTGTTCATAGTCACACTTACAAACAAAACCTTCAACGAGAAATTTAGCGTTAACTTTCCTTATATTTAAACTAAAATAGAACTTACAAGTACCTTAAAAAGTGTTTCAGTTTCAAAGCACTAATTGTTGCTCAATATGGTGTGCCTATAGTAACCTTCCATTCATTAAACCTTAAATTCTGTTTTAAGATACATGGATAAATATTTTCTAATATTTAACGCATATGACTGATAAAGTTTTCTTTGTTATATTTAAAAGATACTTCATCTACTCATATATATTAGTCACTCCCATTGTGAATTAGCTTATTAATATTTTGCCATTTGTTTATTTGTTTTTGTTCATTTATTGAGTTGATGATTTGCCCGGAAAATAAAACTTTTACAGCATTATCCATCTAATGTTTTCATATTTCACTAGATAAAATTGAAAAGAACAACATTGTTACTTCTGTAATTTTAGGATATTTATCTTCAAGCTAATCTGAACAAAAAAACCTGTCTAATCCATCATAATTCACTACACCGCATCTCAGCTACAATTATCACCCCCACTCCATTATATATATATATATGTTCACTAATAATGGATAGCATAGATGACAGAGGTTAAGTATTTTGTGCCTTATGTTCCCTTTAATAATAGTCCATTTGTTTACTACTAGACAGATGCATTATAGATAACTGGTCGAGGTCACTGATTATCTTAATATTGAAATGATAGGAAATGTTAACAATTTAAAAAAAAACGCCAATCCTAAATTCAATTAAGTATGCAGAATATATTTTGATTATACCTAAAATTTCATTAAATTAAATGGAAAAAAATCATTTTAGCCAATTGAATATAGTTTCACTGAATCCTAACTTTATAGGATCTATAATACACTGTTTCTTTAAAACGAATTTGTCACTCAAAAAAAAATAATCTTTATTCAACAAAGTTTTGTCAATTGATCTTACTATGAGAACATCTAATTTCACGGAAAGATTCAGAGGTCTTAAACTATTTGATCGCAAAATACATTAATCAGCAGAGAAATTGAACGTTCCATCGTAAGATATATTTATAGGTAAACGCAAATGTTCTGTGTTTGCATCAGTAACTGAGGCTCACATTTTAAAATGATTACTAAAAACCTAATTAAACTCATTTTCTAGTACTGATTGCTGAATTCAATCTGTTTGATCTTTCAAACCTATTTCTTTTAATCTGCAATACATCGCATAAAATAAGTTACATTTAAATGGTTCTGATTTTAATATAGCTTGACACCTAGACAGGTAATCTACAATCATTGGTTTGAACCTTACAACTTTATTGTTTGTTCTTTGAACCCTAACAGGTAGAAACAGGATAACGATTATTCATCTTAACATTGAATCAGATCTACACAAGCCTTCAGAAGCCCATTTGAATGAAGGTAATTAATTAGCTTTCGTTGGGGTGATAATAGTCGTTTTCTTGCCAAAGAAGTATGAACAGTCAAAAAGTATTTTTGATCAGACAACTAACAGGAAATTGAGCCGGCTTTATGAGCTAAATGAAACTCTACCGAAACCATTCAAAATTAAATATTTGTAAAAATGCCAGCTGTGTTATGATTAATCCTACTGAAGCAGTTATAATAAAAATATTATCTGAGCAACATTTTTTCAGCAATTTTCCATTGATTATTTCCTTGAACTCCTTCCAGACAGTGAACATAGACATACGAGGATGGAGCCAATTATCAGTGTTTCACAGGATTACTACATGCATGATAAGTCTTAGCGTTGTTACTAGTGATATGTAACTCATTATATTATTGAACACTTCAGTAAAGATAATAGAATATGATCGACTGATTTAAGTCCATCCTAAGAGCACTGTCTAAATACGGATTATGTAATCACGGCTTCATTAAACATGTACACTTTGATTTAATTTACACATAAGTGGATAATCAAATTTTCAAATCAAATTTTCCGTAATGCTAAAATTTAATGATCTTAATTTTCTGTCAGCAGTTTTGTACATCAGATTAATTTTAAAAATTCAACAGAGATTCCTAAATTCATTCAATCAAGACCATATACATATTAGATGGAAACGTCTAGCTCCCGAGATATTCTTTTTCGATAAACCTTTCCAGTAGTAAAGATCTAATAATTTTCTTACTGAAAACGTAATCTAATATCTCTGGTGACTAGGTACTACTGAAATTTACATTTTTCTCTCTATATATATGCAGAGTAAATCACTTGGTTAATTTACATCTGATAAGTGTTTTGCCGCACCATAAATATGCACATTACATGCATTAGTAGTAATATCGATAAAATAATATGGTTTGTCTAGAAATAATGATGTGCCCATGTGACAATTTCAGTTTGAAATTGTCAGTAACTGAATGAATGTTTGTCTAAAATTTTCGTTATTTTTTTTCTCACTAAAATAAATAATAAATGAAGCTGAATTACTGAAAGTGATAAGTCGATATTTTTTGAAAAAAAATTATGCTTAGTAACTGATGTTTCACTAGATACACTATCATAATAAACCCCTATTGTAAATTCATCAGGAATTTTAATTCCTAATCAATCATTATTGTAGATAGGAATAAATAGTAGGAACAAGTGGGAAAATCTTAGTAAATCTAATTAGTTTCATATAAGATTATTACTGTCTCACGAACTTCTTAATGCCACTTTTTTTCTTAAAACATGACAACAGTGTATGGTGACTTATTTAATCGCACATTTTAAATAGTTAGTTAAAATAACTTTGGAGAATATTAGTCATTGTCACTTATAACTACTTCAACAAGTTTTCTGGTGCAGAATTTCATTATATTTTTGAGTCACTGTTCTTGTAACTGAAAAATACTGTCCTTCATAGAACAAAACTATTTGACAAATAAGACTGAGATTGCAATGTTGTCACAAAACAGTTTTGACTCTTAATCAACTATAACCACATTTATGCTTGCATAGTTTCTGAAAATACCAAGGTAATGAAACTTTCCTAAATCTCTCAGTTAAAATTTGTAAAATGTAAGTTAATAAGGTCTACTGTTTGTACCTAATTTTAGATACGTAATTCCTCATCATCAATTAAAAAAGCGTATGATTTGCAACTGTGAAACGTAATTCCAACAAGACCTCTTATGACTGATGTTACGTTTTGGTTCTAACTTTTGATATAAGAATATTTGTCCCTAAACCTTTTAAAGTAAATTTACTTGAACATGGAATTTTCTCATTTGCACAGTTGATGTTTCGTAGTTTTCGTTATTCAGAATCATCGAAATCATGACAACAGTGATATATGACATAAAACTTTCAACACTATATCAAGTAGTTGTTTCCTAAAACTAGTACAATGAGTACGTGATTATTTCAGTTATCTTTTCTTCCAAGATATAAAAACCATCTGAATTCGGATTAATAATAAAATTCGTTAGGGTTATTAGTTTGTCAAACTTGATTGGAATTATAAAGTAAGTTACTCAGAAACAGTACAAAAGGACTGAGATTTAAGAGTGTATGCATCTAAGCTCACAATTGTTTTTTCACACATTACATTTTTACACGTTATGCAGTGTTGATCAGTTACTCTATTACTTAAATAAAACAAGAGGTACATTAAACAAACAGATATTTTGTGTACTTTTCTATTTGGCTTCACGGAATGAATTTATTGTGAAGAAGCCAGGTTTTACTGGTAAACTTACATGACATATCTACCCAATTTTTATTTAGCAAACAGTCAATTGTTTAAGATGAGATTTATGAACATTTAACAGAGATCAGATGTTGAAAGTATCACGTAAAATACAACATCAAAACTATGATCTTATATTTAATGGTGACTACAAACGGAATTTTCAAGATGAACTTCGTTTTACATGAGACTAGTAAATTGAATGTTTACCAGATATTTTTGGATTACCAACTACTGTTTCAAAACTATATATCTTTATTAACTAGGTTATGAGAGTCAATTACACTTTAACAGATATCGGTGTTATGAGATTTTTTATCCCCTGAAATGGTTAGTCATTAAGCTAAAATGGTGTAACTGTGTTGAGATTTTAGGTATCTGTACAACTGGATTATCTTTACAATAAAATTATTTTGACTAATTATCTTGTGTCATTATATTGTGGTTTTCTTGATGTTTTAGCATCAAACCATACCATCGGTGTTGCTTAGATGGTTGTAATAACAACACTTATATTCTATCAGCTTAAAAAAAACAGCCCCAAGATTTCATGTATTGACAGTCTAGCGAAGTAAGAAATGGGTTGAAACACTATTTATTTTATGTGTTTGACTGATGACGTTGATCTTATTAATTTACACCTGGTTATAAAGCATAGTTCTCACTTGATAGGGGTATATTTTGTTCTATAAAACCATAATAACTAATTAAATATAGGTGAACCAACAAACTTCGTGATATGTTATCATTCTTTACTTAAGTGCTGTACTTTACAAAATACTGAACCTATCGGTTTATATTGTTTGAACGTTTCTGTACATCATAAATATTGTTCACAATGTTTACTAACCTGACTCATACAAAGATCCTAAGCATGGTATTCACATGGTCTAATAATACAATATGATACATATAATCGATGAGTACTTAGCAATTTGTAAATATACTAACAGAAAATATGCAGACATTTGCTATAAAACAAAACATGTATAAGCACGTAAGATATTAAGTACAATTAGTATTCATGTTATTTTAACAGGTATAAAAAATCAATGATAATAAACGAATTAACCTACTTCAGGATCTGGATCTCCTTCAGGCGGTAGGCACGTTAGCACAAGACGTTTACTGACAGCTAAATCTGTTGAAACTGGTTCCAATTGGAATTTTTCGTCTAAATCTAAATAAATAGGAAAGATATAAATATGTATTCCCTTAGAATGACCATTTCTCATGTAAAAATGGAGAAGCGAACCATCAATAACTATTAGGCGAGAAATTCGGGAACTTTAATTATCCATGATAAATGAATATTACTTTCGATGACATACACAGTTTTAAAAGATTCATATAATGTTTGTTCGAGTTCCTGCAACAATCTTGGTAAGCATATTTATTAACGTGTATATAAGTCAATACTATCAAGAGCACAATAGGATTGATCAACTAATCACTAAAATGATAAAAGTATGTCGAAACTAAATTCTCATAACCAGGAACTGTCAGGTATTTTCAATAAGTTTGATTTATGAGGAAACAATTTTTCATCTCCTCTGGGAATGTTAATATCATATAACGAAACGATCTTTGAAAAGTGTAAAATGCAACTTAGTCGAAACGACAATCTTCTCTATGAAGTGCGGATATACCTCGCATTGTACCTTGTAGTAGTAATGGATATGGGAATAAAAACTATGCAATGGTTCTAAGCAATTGTTTTTCTCAATAATTTCGATGAAACATGTACATCCAACTCAAAATTTTGCACTAACTAGTGTTGCTTAGTTTCAGAAAAACATCTACCCGGCTAACGCTACTTCATATTACAGTTACAGAAAAATGGTGAACAACATTCAATAAAATCAGGCTTTCATCTATAAATTCTGTACGAAGTTGGCTGTCACGTAAACATCAATGTATCATTCACTGTACATAATCTACAACACAATAAATGAAATAAATATGCTAGTAAAAACGATAACAACTACAATTGACAGCCTCGAAATCTCATATGGCAAAAATAACTTTTGGTTTGGCGATCCATTCAGAATAAACCATAAACTGCTTATAGTTTGATGTTGTGTGAATAATGACCGTACAAAATACAGTCAGCAGAATGAAACGAATTATTGCTAAGCACATACTTTAAACATGCTGTAATCCTGAAATCTGTTTCAGGAATTGTGATACTTCGTCGTAAACTTCTCGGTGCCAAACTTCTACTATTTGGGCGTTGAATTTTATTTATTAGCGTTTTACCTATCCTTGTAATGCTAACGAGGTTCACGATGGATTTGTGAGATTATTGGGACAATCTACACAAAATAGTGATGAAACATCTGACTGGATTCGAATGTCACTGTGGAAAACAACACTTAAACGCATTCACCAGATGAGTCTCAAACAAGACTAAACACACTCCCTACGCTCTACTGCTAGCAGCGGCCTGCCTATCTTAAAGATTGTCTGAAAGCTCTTTGAGTAAATTTATCATTACACACACCTAAGAACACCACATTGATGAGTTCTAACAAAAGTTTAGTTTTATGAAACAGCTGCTGAAATTCTGATATCATGAATGCTAGTGGTAGTTATTGGATATGGTCCTAAATTATCAACATAACTGTTTTGAATACAATTTCTTGAGATGTTTGCGTTTCAGGTCCCTTTAATTACATCAAAATCTAAAATCACACATGTTAGCTAACTATTTTAATTAAAAGTTATCTCACCTAGGTCTTGCATCTTAACTCACAAAGTTATATGTAGATTATTACTAACGTCTATAAACTCATTAATAAACAACACTTAATTAGTTACTGGAAAAACTATGTTGACTTAATAATTTGCAGGGGATATAGAAATCTGTGTAAATAAAGCAACTAAACACACTTGCGCCACCGCTTATCCTACTAACATATGGTTTAACTAAATTTTGCTTTTCGTAGTTATGTATGTCAAATGAAATGCAATTTAAAGGCATACTATACAGTTAAGCAATTGACAGAGATCCGATTACATTCAGCTTTCATTGAGTATCAGACTGCTTTTCAACAAAACTTCTAACCAGTTGAATAGAATAATAAAATCATATATAATTTACTACATTTTAAGAGATTACATACCCATAAATCATTTCTTTGAAAATAAATTTATCATCCTCAGATTTCACTTGTTTCATTCATGGTTAGCCTTAGAAATTTTGTAAGATGATTTCTCTAGCTGATAATATACTTTCAAAACTATTCATCATACATTTGTTTTTTGTCATCAGATAAACTAAAAATAGTGACTGTTACCGAGTTAATTAATCAAATTATACATGTTATAAAAAGCCATGAATGAAATGAAGTTGAAATAAGTAAACATAACACTATTAAAAAGAAAGTTAAAATTACAATGAGTCATATTTGATCCCTTCATAAGACAAACATACTTAACCGTAATCATAAATTTCATGACATAATCAAACTAACATCTAGACGAAGAAGAAGAAGAAAAGTTCGTTCCGTATTAGTTCTTTTTTCAATCAAATCAGATGGTTATCTTGATTACATAACTCTCTCCAGATGTATTTTACACAAAAAAGTGTGATTTTTAACATGCGTATTAGAAAAGTTAAAACATTCGTTTTAAAACATAAAAATACAATACTGCATAATCTATAGACTGTTTTAAGAAAACCATAAATTAACAACATGGGTTCATGATTAATATTGACCTTTCTTAAGTTGTCCCCCCCCACACACACTGATACATATGAATCATCTTAAGGAAGATTTATTCAGAGTCTATGAATACAGATCCACTTTCGTGGACAGATAGTGATCTTTTTTCAATAGTACCTGAATCACATCTACTCTCTCTGAGAAAAGAATAAAGGCAGATAAATAATTTTAGATGATTTAACAAACGAATGGAAGGATCGAGTTAAATTCTGTTTAAAAAGGTCAATTTAAAAATTCGTTGAATAAGTATCATTTAGACGTTAACGTTCTTGCATACATTATTTGATGCAACATTTGTGATTTTGAAGTTAGAACTATGCCTGCCATTGAAAAATCATTAAAAACGGAACAAAATTAACAAATCAAAAATTAAATTGATTAATCAGTCTCTAAGTATCACATTTCGAGAATGCGATAAAGTAGAGTCAAAGAAAAAAATCAATTAACTGCCAATGAGTCATTGGTATATATAATAGAAATGATTTCAAAGGTTAACTGAAACTTAGTAACATGTATAACAAACACATTATTTAGGGCTAATTAGAAATTCAATGTAAATTTACTTTTTCCTTCTCATTTTGATAATTAAATTTGTTGGTTCACATAGACTTATATGTGTTTATGTCAATATACTTGTTGATGTATACACTTAGTGAATCCACAAAAAAAATGATTTGTTATCAATAAAAAAATAAATCATTCTTAAGAAAACTGTAAAAACTGAAGTTTCTCATTTAATTTACCGAATCTTATAATAATATGTAGATGATGTGACGATGATACCAAAGAAACAAAGGTCATGGTTTTCTCTTAATTCAATTTGAAATCAACGAACTTCTTTTAAGTCAGTGTATTGCTTCATTTTCATTGGTATATCAATAAGATCATGAATAGACACCATTCACTTCTGTACACTGACAACATTAGTTAAACTAATTTTATTTCTGCTATTGTTGAGTTATAACGAAAAGAAACATATGTAATGAAGTTTACTTGGTATTGTTTTACATGAATCTTCTTATTGTTCTTTAAGACTGCAATCGGTCAGTCTCATGTTGGCATATGTGCATCCTGTGAGGATTGCCTCGATACTGCCTTAACTCACAAGCTTTATAAGCAAAGATGGACAGTGACTAGCAAGTGGAAACCAGGACTCGCATTTCGTCCTATTTAAGGTTCGTCAGCCGGACGTACCTGCACTCCATAGTTGATGTTCACCCCATTGCACAAGCAGACGGCTATCAGGACACAGTATCTGAGTGGATAACCAGATGACGTTTGAAATGAGCGGTACCAGGTTCGAGTCTCGGGGGTGAATATCAACTCTGAGATGCATAGAAATAAATTTTTGTATCTTTCAGTATGAGATTCTGTAATTTGTAGGAAGTTCATCATTTATTTTAAAAACAAGCACATTGATAAACTAAGCATAAAATTACATGATTGGTTTCATTTTCCGTTAAATAATAGTTAATGAAAATAGCTATGTAATAACATAGGGTGAAGCGAAATTTTTTGTACCACTTTTGTTCCACTAGGTATAACAATAATCACTGTTCACAACTAATATCAATGTCTGTAAGTCGTCTAGATTATTATCTTCAAAAGTAAAGTACACTAATTAGTAATAGTTTGCTCGTGTAATTTCATATAAGTTACGTTGAACTTCCTCTTCTGACAAACTTCGTTGGTAATCCCAAAGAAAACGTGTATGATGATTGACAAGAACCTGTACTACTCACATTACAACGAGTATGCGAAAAACGTAGTTGTGATTTGAAGTTAAGGATCATTGCGAGTAATTTCTGACGAAAACAACCCATAAACTACTCTCTTCCTGGAAACATCTAGGTAAGTTTTCATCTTCAACTTTTTAAATTCATAACACTATATATAAATGTGATTGATTTACACTGTCAATAAAGTGTTACTCATAAACCTATAGTCTTTGCACGACGCATACATTTAAAGGAATAGCTTTGTCAATAATCATGCTCTTTTGTCACATTAACTACGTACGTAAATTTGGTCTGTTTACCAATGCCAAGTATTGACTTCAAATACTTTCAATAAAAATTACGTTCAGATTATCATGTTTAACGAATCTCATCTTCAATAATATAACCAATCTATACATTCCTGTTTGGTCAACTGTAAAATCTCTTTAGAATTTAAACGCATTGAGTGTAATGAAATGAACTCATCTTAAAATACTCTTTCTAAAGGAAATGCTTGTTCACTGACAAACAATAGTTTCAATAAAAAACCCTATCACAAAGTTACTTAGTCAACCTTGCAAATCAAAGCTATTAAATAATTTTAATTTACATACTTCAATTTGATTTCTGTAGGCCAGTACAGTTTGTATAGACTGTATAAAGTGCTTCATTTGGTGAATATATATATATATATATATATATATATATATATATATCATAGTTATTCTGTGAAT